TATACATGATTTAATGCTTGGCTCAAGTTTTCCTTGGTTCAACCTCTTTCTTTCTTGTTGTATGTTTCGTTGTGACTCTTGTATTCAAGCTGCTATTTGTTGATTTTATGTGCTCTTGGCTCTTACTTCCGTTCTTCCTGTTTGCAACACTAAGACCGAAGTAGAGATGTGGACAGACTCATCCTCGGATCCTTCTGCTTGCAAATTGTGGGGGGGGGGGCTGCCCGGACCATTCCGTTTGCAAATGGAGTTGAGCGGGTTCCCCCACAAGGCTTTGCGCGAGGAAGGGGCGTGCCTGCATCAGCAATTCCATTTGCAAATGGCTCAGGCTGCAATCAACGCGAAAAGAAAACTTGGAAATGAGATGCTGATCCGCTCATGTCCCCGCCCCCTGGCCGCTCCCCCCGCCCCGCGACCTTCTAGGTATATCTGAGGGAGCAGAGGCTTCTGATCGACAAAAAGAGGAAGCCGACTCTTTACAAAGTTTGATTGGAGGAAGTAGACATGTTTCCATGAAAATTTTCCATGAAATGCCAAGAGCAGAGATGTTCTCATTAAAGTATGGAGGACATGGAAGTTTCCCTTGAGCATGCAGAGAAAATCGAGGTTTCCGACAAAGAAACGGAGAAGAAGCAAAACATACCTCTTCCCAAGAAAATGTACTTTTCAAAAGCAGCTGAATCACGCTGTCACGCTGCCTGGAACCTACTATAGGAGTTGTTATTTGCAATGCAGGTTTGAAGCATCATGTGCATCTGGACATCTGGCCCATCCCCTGCCTGGCCAGATGACGCAAGACAATTTCAAAAAACAGAAGACCGTGGAGGACAACCTTGCCAGCCAAGCGGTGTACAGCCTTGTAGGATTTGACGAGGAAGTTGCTTAGATACCCCTGCGCGCAAAGCTTCGAACACGATCTTGGCATGGTGCTTCCAGGAGAAAGAGCCCCTGCGAGGCATGGCAGACGATCATCCACTTAGTTCATTGTGCTCCTAAAAGCATGGGGACGTCAAAAGGTGTGCTTGTGAACTGTTCCCGCGGCAAGTCCGGCATAAGCATCGCTGAGCCCAAGTATACAGTCCCTTGAACTCAGCTTTGACATGATGTGTGGGCATAGCTTCGTAATGATACCATCGCTTGCTTTGCCCTGGCCAGTCCGCATCCAGCGCCAGAACGAGTCCGATCAAGGCAGGCTGAGTGGATCTGAGTGGGACGAAGCGACTCCACGGTCAGTGTCTTGCATGGTCAGACAGAAACGCATCCTAAAGTTGACTTGTGCGAAGAACTCTCTCATCTCCTTATCCGCAGTACCTGAGACCAGCACGGAGCAAGCTAAAATGCGCAAACTGAAGTTATCTACAGGCTGACGTTCTGGCAGTATTTGCCGCAAGCTCAGCTGTGGTGTTGATTTTATGGGCATGTTGCACATCGTTGATGCTCTGCCTTTTGCATGTGGAATGGAGCGTGCTGCTTTAAAGTTTGCTCAGGCTAGCATGCGAAGATGGCAGCAAAAAGTATACTGCATGGGGGCTTCCTCGAGAGCCCGAAAGCCTTGTCAAGAAGATAACGAACGCAGCTTGCTATATGCTGTAGGTCAGTCTTTTCCAGGGCTCCGAGTTTTGAAAACTTCACCCGCAGCATCCAGTCCCTACTGTACACCCAACTCATAATCTCCATGTGCGCCGCGTTTCTTATCGGGCCTTATGGACATTGATGCCTCGGCGGCTGGCCAGGCCGGGGAGAATAGGCGGAGGCTAGTTAGTTTTTTCTAAGATAGAGAGTTTGTTCTACGACTTTGCACTATTCTTCAAAATATTGGTTGCGAGGCTGGGAGAGAGCGAACAAGTTTTTTCTAAGAGTTTAAACTACTGGCAACTCGGGGGAGGGGGAGGGGGAGGGGGGGGAGGGGAAACTAACAAACTCGCCCGGCCAAAGTTTGTTTGTCCGGAGAAAGCAAACGTTGGGGTGGGGGGCGGGAACTAACTAACTCTGCCGGCCAAAGTTTGTTTGGCCAAAAAAGCCACCTTTTGTTTTTTTGGGGAGGGGCAAAGTTTGTTTCTCCAGGGAAGAACAAAGTTTGGGGAGGGCAGGGCGGTTTGGGGGGGGAAAAGGACATTTAACTAACTCGGCTGGCTTGAGTTTGTTTGTCCAGAGAAAACAAACTTTTTTTTATTTTTATTTTTTTAAATGTTTGTTTTCTCTGGACAAACCCAGCCGAGTTAGTTAGTTGTCTTCCCCCCCTCCCCCAAACCCCCTCCCCCAAGTTTGTTGACTCCTCCTCCTGCCACTACTACTTTTGTTATTACTACTACTGCTGCTGCTACTACTACTACTACTACTACTGCTACTACTACTACTACTACTACTACTACTACTACTACTACTACTCCTACTCCTACTCCTACTCCTACTCCTACTACTACTACTACGACGACGACGACTACTACTACTACTCCTCCTCCTGCTGCTACTACTACTACTACTACTACTACTACTACTACTACTACTACTACTACTACTACTACTACTACTACTGCTCCTGCTCCTGCTCCTGCTCCTGCTCCTGCTGCTCCTGCTCCTGCTGCTGCTGCTGCTGCTGCTGCTGCTGCTGCTGCTACTGCTACTACTGCTACAACCACCACTACCGCTTCTCCTACTGATCTGATTGTCGAATCATGACCACAGAACGAAAATCAGATTCGAGGAGGGGTGGAATTCGGAATAATTCTCCACTTCTCTGCTTTCGAGTAATGAACGAAACAGAGAAAAGGAGGGGGGCGCAATATCGAATAATAGATTTCGACCTTCCACGACGACGACTACTACCACTACCACTTCTCCTATGATTCTGATCATCGAATCATGAAGGGGTGGATTCTTCAAAAACATGTCAACTTCTCTGATTTTCGAAACCACATTGTCCGCAAGTTTGTTTTCTATGCCTCAACGAAGTTTGCCAAGTGTTTGTTCTCTGTGTCCAAACTAGCTTTCCAAAAGCTTGTTGTCTATGTCTAACTAACTTTCGCCTTCTCCGTACAGTCTTGACGCATAGTTTCTCGCCGAGAGAAACTTTTCCCAGAAACCCCCGTTGTCCGAAAGTGTGTTTTTTATGTCTAACTAACTAACTTTCCAAAATTCTTTCTATGTCTCAAGTAAGTTGCGTTTGCCCTGTTTGGAGAAGGGTGACGATGCCCAGCTTGTAATGCCATCCGTACCCTCCATCATTTCGCCAGGTGCCGCCCCCGGATCTGCGACGCTTGCTGAAGCGACGAGCTCTTTGATGTGAAAGTGTTGGATGGCACTGAAAGAGCGGTTCTTAAGTTCTTGGGGGTCGATTGGCATTACCACTGGTTTGGCACTTGGTTTGGTACATGTGATGATTCGGCACACATGCCTGCCACCTGCCAGCCGCAGATCCAAGCGCCACCGTCCGCACTTGAGGTGCCTATTCCAGACCTAGTGACGGCCACCTGGCACGAGATAGACATGATGTGACAGGAGCCATCCAAGCCAATTGGGCAGTACGACGTTGTCTGTGTGCCACTTAGGTCGCAGACTCCAGCAGCTTGTTTTGCGCTTCGCGGCAGATCCGCGCGATCTTGTCAACCTTTGTCAGCATTCGTTTGAAATTTGAATCTTGGCAAGATTTCGGTGGACCCAGGGGTTCATGTGCAAGATCCTGAAACTAGAAGAGTAGCTAAAACAGCCGCACGAGCAATCGACGAACTAATGAGCCTAATCAGTGGTCAGACCCGCATGACGAGGTTGATCTCAACGCCAAGTATGAATAGTGTCCTTTGAAATCGGCTCGTGTTGCCAATCGACTGCCCGGACTGCTTGAGACTTGAGAGCTTTCGGCAGCTAGCTTCAAGGCAGACTGCTCTCAGGCAAAGGGATTTGGGGCCGGGGCTGGGGGTTCCATCACGATTGTCAGTACGGCCTAGGAAGTACCCCAGCCATCAGAGAATGCCGCCACGGCAGCTGTGGTGCGGCGTCGGGTGCAGAGCTCCTGAGCAGCCAAAGCTTTTGTTCTTCTGGCTCTGTGTCCTTGAATGTGGCCGTTTTGCAGCCGTTGCAGCCCAACCTAGGGGTTCGGCACCCAGGCAGATGGCTGTGGAGTCTTCTTGCCAAGTAGTCGAGGGTAGTGGCGCCAGTGAGGTCATGTGAGGCCTGAAAAAATGAGCCACAAACTCAATCAAACTCATCTATCCGCATCATGGCAATCCATCTCGATCCGCTGCCGAGGAGCCCGCATCAGAGTGCTTCAGGCAAGACTTCTCATGTGTTCACTGCGGTTTGAGAACTTTCCTCTGCGTAGGGCCACGTCGCGCCAGATTTGTCGAAGAATCGCCACATATCTTTCATGATTGTTTGCTCGGCTGGGACAACTTCCGCAGTGTAACACGATGGAGCAGAAGCTACATACAATGTCAGTATTTTCCGGCAGCAAGCAGACCCGGATGCAAAAGGGTCAGGACCTCCGCGTCCTTGATGGTGTCGGCTTCGCCAGCCTAAGGCAAACAAGTCAAACAAAAGTGGGGAGCTGGGTTAGGTTTCCTCTCTGAATGCCGGCCAAGGGCCAAGGCGATCTTGAGCGCCTTCAGGTGGCATGTTGTGCCATCACGCGTCTCCAGTCTCGACGCATTTCCGCGACGGTGTCGAGCTGTGGGCTCGGCCACTCTCGCGAGGCCCCGGTGAGTGGGCCCTTGCCTATATACTTTCGATGTCCGCTGCGTCTCTTGGCCTGCAGGTCATGGTAGTAAATTTCAAGGGACTGCCTGAAGTGCCCTGCTCAGACCTGGATGACGATCATTTTTTCATCGAAGGCGAAGCGCCATTGCAGAAAGTGCCCCTTTGCCGGCGGCTGCTCAAGACTCCTGGCAGAACAAAGACAGCATGTGGACCAAAGGTTGGACCGAGGTTGCTGTGCCGCCGCCTTTTTTGAAATGCTCCGCGTGCCTGAGTACTTTTTGCAAGCACGTGGAGTGAGGCTCGCGCCGATGATCAAATGGGACGAATGCGAGAAGGCAGGATGCCGAGCCACCCCCACCCTCCGGCTCTTTTTCTTCGCCTCTTGAGTGAGTGAGAGAGTGAGAGAGTGAGAGAGAGAGAGAGAGAGAGAAACAACAACAAAGAAAGAAAGAAAGAAAGAAAGAAAGAAAGAAAGAAAGAAAGAAAGAAAGAAAGAAAGAAAGAAAGAAAGAAAGAACGAAAGAAAGAACGAAAGAAAGAAAGAGCATACAAGAGTCGGGCCACCCTTGTCTTTGGGAAGCCCGCAGGGGACCTAGGAGGGGTGGGGACGAAGGCCCCCCTCCCCGACTGTGCAAATGTACCTGCGCTCCGTCCGCTCGTGGGAAGTACTATGCCCTACCGCATTCCGTGCATCTTCCGTCCCACTTCGTGTTGCAGGGATTGCACCTTTACCCTTGGGGCGTCGTCTCTTCACTTGTGCCATTCCCGGTGACTGGCACAAGTTGGCACAAAAAGGCATTCCCTTCACTCTTGCTGATGTTGAATGGTGATGTTGCCCTATTGTTGAAACTGCATCAGCTCCGTCCTTGCCTTTTTAGGGTTAGGCTTGTGTACTGTGGATTGTTTTTTGCTTTGCGAAGCAAGGGGCCAGCTTGATGCTGCTGATGCTCGCTTTGTGCGGCTCAGGCGCAGCAAGGGGCCCAACTGATGCTGATGATGCTCGCCTTGTCGGGGAGCTCAGGCCCAGCAAGGGGCCAGCTGATGCTGCTGATGCTCGCTTGCTGCGGCTCAGGCGCAGCAAGGGGTCCAACTGATGCTGATGATGCTCGCCTTGTCGGGCGGCTCAGGCCCAGCAAGGGGCCAGCTGATGCTGCTGATGCTCGCTTTGTGCGGCTCAGGCGCAGCAAGGGGCCCAACTGATGCTGATGATGCTCGCCTTGTCGGGGCCCAGCAAGGGGCCAGCTGATGCTGCTGATGCTTTGTGCGGCTCAGGCGCAGCAAGGGGCCCAACTGATGCTGATGCTCGCCTTGTCGGGCCTCTCGGGCCCAACAAGGGGCCAGCTGATGCTGCTGATGCTCGCTTTGTGCAGCTCAGGCGCAGCAAGGGGCCCAGCTGATGCTGCTGATGCTCGCTTTGTGCGGCTCAGGCGCAGCAAGGGGCCTGATGATGCTCGCCTTGTCGGGCCGCTCAGGCCCAGCAAGGGGCCAGCTGCGGGGTAGCCTCACGGGGACAGGTTTGCAGGTGTTCACGTTCAACCCCAGACAAGAACCGCCACCAGCCATGGATGAGCAATGATGAGAGCAACATCAGGATCGACAGCCGACCAGCAGAGACATGATCTTTGAACACGGCAGATCGCAGAGTCCATCTTGATACATCAAGCTGATGGAACATCAAATTCAGCCAAAAATGGCGTAGACGCTCTCGAACAAACTCATCTTTGGCCGTGTGTTTTGTGTGTGTGTGCCGGCTTGGAAGAGTCTCCACATGATCAGTACTTGAAAACTCGCCACAGTATGTCTGCGGGCCCTGCAGGTTCAGTGTGTCTGCCACGCTGGACAATTGGATTTCCTGGAGTCGCCCCTGCAGACGTGCATCACAAAGCTTCGTGGCTGCTGCTTGGCGTAGTTCTAGGTAAGAAAAAACATCCGAGTTGGACTAGTTGGCACAGCCTTGTGTATGTTATTGCATTGCTGACATTTGCGTTCTGATAATCGGGTGGCAGCAAGTTCTGTAATGAAGCAGGATGTTGTCTACAGATGCTTGAGGATCAGGGGCAGTGAGTGGTTTCGAGTTTTTTTTTGAGAATCTGAGGTATGCCATGGGTGCTCCTTGAAAGAGCATGCCTTTCCGAGGCCCCCTGCGTCATTCGGAGCGAGTGTCGCACACACACACACACACACGAACCTGCAACGCGCCACTTACACCCTGTCGCTTGTCTAGAGCGGCTGTGAGCATGAGTTTTTGCGAGGGCGTGTCTTCTTGGCGCAGGTGTCAAACATCGAGGTGAAGTTGCACCAGCGCCTTGCATGTATTTATATCTGTATGCAAAGCCATTCTGAAGCGACTGTGCTGAGGATTTGTGGACAGGAGCTGATGCTTCCCAACGTCACCAGAGTCAAAGTATTCTGCTGCGCCCTGGCGACCGACCGAAGTACCTCATCAGACAGACTCAACTCAAGACTCAAGAGCGAGCTTCGGACTGCCAGCTTCGCACATGTTGCTACTGACCGACTCATGCCAGATGAGCCCCATGCAGTTGAGGGGAGCCGGCTGCGGCACTGTCCGACAACGCTTTCTGCGAGTGGCCTGGCGCAAGTCTCCACTATTCATCTCGAGAATGGTGAGCAAAATGTCGGGGAATCTACTGCAGGGCCTAGGGAGTCTGAGGCTGTAAAAAGTCGTGCGATGATCGATTTGGTCAGCGTTGCCATGCCCATAGCTGCCAATGTTCTCGGCTGGGGATGACCACGTGGAAGCACGCTAGGGAGGAGCACGGCTGCCATATATTGGATCAACCTCACATCGGTTTAGGAGGCTAGCGCGCTGGACCAAACACCTTGTGGCCCGGGTTTTTGACTGAGGATATATCGGGTCTTTCCCAACCTGAAGCAGCTACATCTGCACATGCTTCCGAGCCTGCTGCCGCCTCTGTGCCTCTCCAAGTTTGACGCTTTGCTGCCATATCATCTCAACGGAAACAACTCTTAATTCTGGCAGATTCGGGTACCTGACTGCATTGACAATTTACAGCTTGTTCTGAGTGATTTGGCTTGCAGTGGGCACTGTGATCTGCCCTCCCATCTCTCGTGCTTTTTGTTGTTTCACTTTGGCACTTTCACAGGCCGAGTGCTGTCAGTGTCCAAGGTTGCCCCGGCGGATTTCCGCATCAGTTTTCACGAAGTTCCAGGCTTGCCGAGTTGAGTCGCCGTAGCGCCGACAAGTAGCCGGCACGATCCGGATTGAGTGCCCGTTTGCCAGGCACTGCACATGGCGAGGGACTGGAGGGGAGCTCCTTCCTTGAGCCTTGGCCAGGCTTCTAGTATCTTTTGGTCTCTTTGCTTGCGGACCGGCGGCCATTCTTCTGGTTCATGTCAGGCCGCCTCACACAGGATGGGGCAGGACTTGGCCCAAGATTTCTATGGTTACGGCTACCCGAAGCCTGGAGATGTACGATGCCCGTAAATTTGGAAGAAAGTGGGGTGGGGAAGTGTTGGAAGCACTGTGTATAACGTGGTTTCGAATATGTCCGGCCCCCTTTTTTGTCTTTCCTATTTCGGGCTCTTGCACGAACCCTCCGAGTTGCGGAGTATTGCGGAGTGGTATCCTGAATATCTTCGAGTTTACGAAGGGTATGTCCCGAGTTGTGGTCAGTCTTTTTGCTACGGTCCGTACGGGGTTAAGTGAGGCGGGCATCCCAAAAAACGGAGCTTGAGTACCAAACCGCAGGTGTTACACCGAGCTTGTGCATTAGTTCAACGTTAACTAGTGCCATTCTTGAAGTTGCTCTTCATGTGGCATTGGGCATCTCTTGATACACAATACCGAAGCCTGGATATGAATAGCCCGCACAGTCCAAACTAACAAAGGCATTCCATATCGTACGTAACATTTTACAAAGGGGGCCGCAGAAACCGAAGCTGGACATTGTGGTCGCTAAAGTCCAGCTAAAGATGTGGCATTGGCAGTATGCTACCAACCCGCCCTTGAGGCTGCCAACCTGTTGACGATGCCCTTTGCAGGGGAAGGCGCCGCTCAGGTTTGTACATGGGGTTCGGCATCCCCGAAGCATCTCCAGGGCAGCCTAAAAACGTAGAGGCGTGCCATGTCGCTCGATCTGCCCAGCATCACTTTGACTCTCCACCTTCGCCCTCTACTTTCGCTTTTCACCGTGCAGGCACCATCTTCCAGAATCTCTGCCGCCTGCAGATGGATGCCCTTGCCAAACTGTCGGGAGGCAACCTGCCAATGAGCCGGCCTTGCCGGCCATCGGTTCTCAAAAGCGAATGTGGACTGTTGCTGCATGTTGCTGTCTCAGGCGATGCTGTTGTAGTTCCGTCCAGTGTCTTTGTCACTGTTCTGCAGGATTTCCTAGAGCCTAGCGGGCCTCGTTGATGGCCCCATCTAAGCCCCGAACCTCGAATCGCGTGTCTAGGTGCGCTCCTGCACATGGCCACTGCCCTTCGCGGGGCACATGCCTTGAGGCGCTTGGGTACCATCTCGGCACCGCGCCATGGCTGGTACGGCTAGCACTACTACACGTACAATATGTGTTAAAATGCTGTACAGGAACACAACAGCCTCTCGTTCAATCATGCTCTGCTACGCATGCTACTCGGAGTTCGTTATTCTTAGGTCTGGGCGCATCTGCCGTAGGGATATGCCAAGAAGGACAAACCTGAAATGTGGCACTTGAGTTCCCGCCGGATAGCCTTGCAAGTGAGGATGCTCCGCTTGCTGGATCCTGCTGCTTTGCAGAAGTGGAGAGAGGAGGTAGAGTTGCACGTAGAATCTTTCAAGCCATCACAGCCACTGAGGCCAGCGAAGCTTTTCAACTGGAAGAAGTGGTTGTGGCCATGGGCTTGGAGGATGCTTCCAGTTTCAGATTGTAGTGTTTCATAGTGTTTCAGGCCTGTTGAAAGAGAGGTCGAGCCTTTAACACCCAGGCCCTGGACCCATCCTCGCCTCTCGGGCATGTGTTAACTCAAGAACTGAAAGCAGTCGATATTGCGGTGCCAAACTATTTAAACATCCAGCTTATCCTGAGAGTGTGAATCAATCATCGAGTATTCTATGGCTCTATGAGAGTCTCAAAGAGGTCACTACTTAATGTTCTGGTGAGCATCCAATGTCTCCTCCTGCATGACTGCGGAATCGGCAATTACTGGGAAGTTGCACACAAGTACAAAAAAGCTTGATACAAGCCAGCACACTTCTCGCAATAGCGCCTTGCTACCAGTTCTGGATGACGGCTGTGTCATCCGCCATGCTGTAGGGTACTGTAGGGGGGTGTCAATCATTTTGGAGCTGCTGGGGAGGACTGCCTCGGCCTGTTCACCTTCATGTTGCCTCTGACGCAGTTGGAAAAGCGCTGCAGCATCCAGAGGCTCGCTTTCACACTTGATATTTTGCTTGAATCTTGTTGAAACACAGCAAAAGCCTCAAAGCGCGTGCTGGAGCTACCAGGCTGGGCATTCACTTGCAAGCTCCGGATGCTCTCATCAAACCACCACAGGCTGCCATGGGTGAAGGGCCCATATGCCTGTTCTTGGCGAGTGTGTGTCTGTTCTCCGCCGGAGCGCAACTATACATGGGTGAGTCTATATATCGGGTGTCTTTCTGGGAACACGTGCGAGCACGCTTGTGCTTGCACAGTTTTTGAGATGCAACAAAAGGGAAAGTGTTTGACGCTTAAGGCGGCCCAGGAATGGCACACTTGGGGGTGTCGGGCTCCTCTTGTCACCAGGAAGTTGAGAACTTCCTGTGCGCCGGCTTCTACAGCTTGGCGAAGGATGTCGGTTGGCCTGGCATTGTGCAGTACGTGCAGCCGTACCCAAATAATGCCCCCCCGGTTAACATCTTGAGAGATGTCCGATCGCAGGACTGCCTCGCACCCAGCGCTTTCCTGGCCTTCTCGCAAAGTCAGGACAGTTGCTAAATGGGTATGGGAAATTATGGGAACTTCGCCATGGCTTTGGCCTGACCTGAGAGTCCCTTATTGCCCCGTCGAAGGAGCAGCTGGTCGACACGGTTGCATGGCTGCACTTCGTTCAGCCTCTTAGCGTCTTAAGGGCTCCGCTAGCATGCTGGTGAGTGTTCTGTCACAGGATGTCACAGGCTGCGGGTCAAAAGTCCAGGGTACGTAACAGGGCCCTTGCGCCTTTTTGCGACATAGGGTTTGTAACAAGGCCATTCTTCTTGCGACAAGCCTCCGCGCGACAGACCGCTGCGACAAGCCCATCCTTGCCACCCCCTTGCGAATTTGGGAGCCCGCGACAAGCCCGCGACATACGTATGACACAGCCGGGCTCGACAAACGTATGAAACAGAAGCGGGGGGCGGGACACCTCGACATACCCCTATTTAGACCCACAGCATGGCTCTAATGCACCTACGCTCTTTTGCACTCGTGCGTAGTCGCTTGAGCGCTCATGGCAGATGAAGTCCCCGAACCTGGAGAATTTTCCGGAAAGCTTCTTAGGTGCTAAGCATTGCACAGAATACTCAACGTTAATACGCGCTTTGCAAATCAGCTCTTGTGTGTCCAGATCGGCGCGTGGTGCTGACGGGAGTTGCTTTGCAGTAGGCACCCAGCAGGGAGCGCTGGACTAACTTATGCACAAAAGCCGTGACCTAAGTTTGCCCAATCTCTGTCAGGTTGGCACTGAGCTGCACTGGGAATCTCGCAGTGTGCAGCAGCAGTCGAACTACAGTCAACTGTAAGAACAGCAGACAGTGCTCATGCTGCGGCCCATCTATGAAGTGCTTGATACTTGTGTCAATGCTCCAATAGACGCAGGTTATCTTCCAGCTGCCGTACCTGGACGAGCACTTTTTCGGAACTTGCTTGCAGTGATGGCTGTCCTCCTTGTAAGTCCATCTTGTCTCCTCTGGCACCCTGTCATTTGGTTCCATCATGCTCCACCCAAATCAACGGTGACTGGTGTTTGCCGTCTGTCAACTGGCGATCATTGGCACATTCAGTTTGCTCAAGGTCTGGATATGGCCAACTACGGCCCTGACAAGGTGGCAGGTACGACGCCGCTCGATCAGCGGCTGTGGCTGCATGTGTCTGTATTGTGGCAGTCCTCTCATGTCCGTCCGAGAGCTACATCGAGCAACACCGGTGCAAGGGCTGGAGCTTTCGGGCGTTCTGTGGCGCACTGGGGAGATGCGTATAGATGTTAACAGAGTTGCAACCACTTGTGGCATGACGCACTGAGACCACTGGAAAAGATGGAGGCGCAGATATTCTGTGGCGACCACGGGCATGTCCACGCTTGAGTCTCGCATCCTCAGTCTCCAAGCCTCCCCCCCCCCCCCCCCCCCAAATCGGACCACACGATTCTTTCGATTCTCGGAGACAAATCTTTCACAACATTTTTCAGTTTTCCGGGTGTGCTTAGCCGGCACAGGCCCTTATGCCACTTCGACCCATGGGAACGTTGATCTCTGGTCCGCAACTTTGGAAGCAGCTCAATTGCTTGCTTGGGATGAGGGGTTGACACTTCAGTGTGAGCTGCAGGGAAAGCATAAGCATTTGAGCACGAATGCAAGGATCGTCACAGGGTTGACAACCATAACATGTCAGGGGACGAGAGAGGTAGTGGCTATCCAAGAAGCTGCAGCGAACAGGGCATGTGGACCTTTCTTTCTGAAATGCTTGGGTTTGTGAACCGGGTGCTGAGCTTGACTCTATGTTTCTGACTTCCAAGGCTGCGTCCGGCATCTTTGGCGGCCTGACTAAGATCTTGTTGGAAAGTGCTGTGCGAAGTGATGAGATGTGATGCGACTGCGTTTTGTCGCTCCGCTGCCCGAGTCTTTCGAAGTCACTGAACGAAGAGCTGTATGCAAGAAAGGCTTTCTTTTTGATTGAAGGCTTCAGGGCAAGTGGGAACATGTGGGAACATGTGGCCATTCCAGGGTGTAGACCGAAGAGGACTTCAGAAGCACAGGCACAGACCCCGGGCAAATTCATAGAGCGTGTTCAGAAATAAACAGGAAGGACGAATGCGGAAAGCTTGCCGCAGGCAAAACAGACAACATTGGACTTCCTTTCCGCTCCGCTTCTGTTGCTGATGGTGGTGCTGCCGGTAAGTTGCTTGCGATGGTCTGCCACTGCGTGTTTTTTGGCTTCGGCTGCCCCTTGTTTTCGAGCTTTCTGCCCGCTGCATGATGTTCTTTCCTGATTTCATTGTTCTTGTTGTTCTGCTGAACTGGCCTCGACGAACCCCTCATCCAGTTGCACTCGCAGCACAAAAGTCGCATGTTGGCTGTTGTTTGTTTGTTTGTTTGTTTGTTTGTTTGTTTTGTTTGTTTGTTTGTTTGTTTGTTTGTTTGTTTTTTGTTTGTTTGTTTGTTTGCTCGTTTTGTTTGTTTGTTTGTTTGTTTGTTCCCACCCTCGGTGTGGGGTTGTTCGATTTTAAACTCAACTCTTCGCCTCGCCCGGCCTACTTCTCCTCGCTCGTTCTACTTCTCCTCGCCCGGTCTACTGCTCAATTCCAGAGTGTCCCTGGAGTGCTGGCGCCCAACCACCAACAGAGTGTCCCCAACCCCAGAGTGTCCCTGGAGTGCCCAACCCCAAAGTGCCCCCTGGAGCGCCAAACCCCAGATTGTTCCAGGAGTGCCCAACCCCAGAGTGTCCCTGGAGTCCAACCCCAAAGTGTTTCTCGGGTTGGGCGCCCAACACCAGAGTGTCCCTGGAGCCCAACCCCAGAGAATCTTTACCCAGAGAGGGTGGGGATGTTCGAAGTAAAAGAATTTGTTTGTTTTCGATCGTTTGTGTTTGTTCGTTTATTTTGGTTTTGGTTTGTTTTTGTATGTTTGTGGACCTGCGACATCTCATTCCCAGAGCACGTCTTGCACCCATGCCTATTTTTAGCCGAAGCCATGCCTGTGTAGCCGAGCAACAGAGAACCAAGCAAAGAACGCTTGGCCACAGAACTGCCTGACAAGGATTGTTCACCCACAAAGCGTCCGGTGACTTTGCCCTGGCTTCTTGTCTGCGCAACAGTGAACGGCAGCCAACCATGGGCCAAAGGTTTCTGCATCAATGTGCACACCAGGCATATGTCCCAGCTGCCTGGGATGACCATGAAGATGACACTTGGCCGGCATCACGGGACAGGGTACGGATGTCAATGATGAGGGTCTGCGCCCTGGCATGCGGACAGGTTGCTTGCAGACTGGGGATATAGAATGATATAGATCTGGCCCGAAATTGTTGTGCGTGTGTGTGTGTGTATTGTCAGGGCTCGGCTTGAAGCTTTCATGTAGCCCAGCCACGTAGCGGGTAACTGCCTGAGGATACTTGATACATAGGGCATCTTAGGGCCCGTTGCGCAATGAATCAAAATGAGGCTACATGTGGTCGAAGGCCTGTCGGGCTGGAAACGTGAGATGGGGTTTCGGACTTTTTAGCCACCGGCGCTCGTCAGTCTGCACTTCAGGTGCAGTTCTGATGTCTTCAGGCTTATCAGGGCCCCTTCCAGCGGCCCTTCAAAACGGATGGCCGTGTTAATGTAGCGCAGCTGGGCTCCCCAGGGACCTAGCGCAGTTAGATCTGGGTCGATGTGGTGCGGCAGTGACCCCCGAAGAAGCTGGTGCTAGGATTTGCGCAATGCACAAAAACGAGCAGAAAAGAAGACGTCTGCAAAGTACTGCGGGGCGCGCGCCACATGGTCGTTCGCTGTGGAGCATGGTCGTCGGCCTGAAGCTCCGAAGGGGCAGTTGGAAGCTGGACCTAGAAACGCAGCATAGTGGTGACGTGCATGCCTGCTGAAACACGGCATCTACATTATAGAGGCAAGCAATCCCGGCACACCTTTTCTGGAGCGTTGAGAAATCCCGTAATCGGAGACATGCGGGGTTGATTCTTGCTGAAAGGCTGTCACAGTAGATCCGCATGCATATGTGTGACACATCTGCCGATGGAGCAGACTTTGATTTCATGCTTGCCGACCCGCAGCTTTCCATGCAAAACGGAACGTGTGCTGGCAGTCAGACATTCAGATGGCAGGGAGTGGGATGTGGAATCAGACTCCAGGATGCACAGCATGATAACGCATGTGTGATCGTTGTAATGTCAATCAGGTTGGGCCAAGCAGTGCGATCGAGTTAGAATGCCCACTTTGCTCTAATTGGGCCCGCCCCACCGTTGATTTAACATTCAATGGAGTTGTCTCTGTGTGTGTCGTCGCGCGTGTGCGCACATGTGTGTGCGGGGGGGGGGGGGGGGGGGTGTGTTTTTATGTGTTTGTCTTTGTTCTCAGGGTTCTCCGTGTGTCTCTGTGCGTCTATGTACGTCTCCGTCTCTGCGTGTTTCTGTGCATGTGTCCGGTGTGTGTCTCTGTGTGCTGTGTGGGTGTGCGCGTGCCGTGTGCGGTGTGCAGTGTGCGGTGTGCGGTGCGCGGTACTCGGTGCGCGTTGCGTGGTGTGCGGTGTGCGGTGTGTATGGTACTGATATGTCAGCCGCGGCACGTGCGCCATACCTGAAAAATTGGCACAGATTATGGCGAGGATTTCAAGAGGGATACAATGGTGTCCGTAAGAGGACAGCTGACAAGCGGCATTTCGCTGACCACGGTAAGTAAGAAGCATTGAGCAGCTGCGGGCGTCTGTCGGCAAGGTTTCCGCGCGCTTGGCTTTCCTTCACTGAGCCGATGCATGCGGGGCGCGAGGCTGACGTCTGTCCCCCGAACAAGACAAGCCAACCATCGCCCGACGCAAAGCTCATGGTTCTCTTCAGATCTGTGTTCAGTCAAAAAAACGAGAATATTCAGATAAGGCTTCCCTCGAGCCGTGATCTCATGTAGTACCATCCGGCTTAGGTTCTGTTTGCATGTGGTTTAGAAAATTTGCGTCTCAGGGAAAACCGCAGTCACAGGTTACAGATTTTGTGAGCTGCATGCAAAGCCTAGCCATCCGCAGGGATCAACAAATATCAACCAGTGCCCGAGGTCTGAACACAGGCTTTAACAGTTCACCTTACATGCTGGCTCCTCCATGTACCCTGTGACTGAGTAGCGTAGCTCGCACAAGTGCCTGCCGCTTGCCTCAACGCTGATGCTTTGCTTGCCCGGCGCTTGAAGAACAGGGTGGAGACGGCCACTTTCAACAAGAAAGCACCAGAACTTCCTGCAAGTTGTAAACAAGAGCGCGACAGAAGTGCCTGTCCACCACTCGTTTTGCTGTTGGCAGACCCGCAGACCGCGGCAACAAGCCGGGAGTTCTGTGCGGTAGGCTGGCTGCCCATTCTGCATTCGTCCCCGGTCACGAAAACCGTGACCTGGTTGCGAAGCCCAAAGTCCCAAAGCTTGAGAATCGCAGTCGGGCGGGGACAGCCGCCGGAGGTGCCAGCAAACCTGCTCCAGAGCTCGTCACATATTTATCCTGAAGTCTCATTATAGTGGTGCAAGGGGCGGCTAATAACAATAACCGGCTAGCCCGTGAATGAATCCATGAAAAGAAAGGCATCAAGTGAGTGATGATTGGTGCATACGCGTGCATAATAATGCAAGGATGCGCAAACAGTATAGTTAAGCTAAGGGCCAGGAAAAGATGTTGTGCGCGCCCTGTTTTTTTGGCGGCCAATGGACCAAACAGTATCAACAATTCCTCACGAGAGGTTGCTGACGCCTCCATTCCTGCCCTACAGCTCCTGGGTGGCTGGTGGATGCAGCTGTGCATTGCTGGCCTTGGGTGGAGATTGTTTGGAGCAGTCACCGTCCATCGGTAGGATGCAGATTACCCAGCCATCACAGGAGCCTGCATGTATCCCGCCCTAGGCGTGACCGAAAAAAGGCTGAGACCATGTCCATTGAATGCCGGTAACCCTTTGGTCGAACTGTGGAGAGTTGTTGGAAAACCTACCGGTTCAAACATGAAACGTCAGTAGATGCCAGCGGCCATGAAGCCTGTCTCATGCAAGACATGACTTTAAGCAGGCGCCGGTCGGCAAGTGTACTTGCAACGCGCAGGCGCTTTCTGTTGCGTTCTGGCTCGAGGCTTCAAGGTGGCGCAGTGGGGGTGGGGTTCGGGGGAAGCATAGCGAAGCCGAACATATCAGAACATGTAGGGACAGCATCAGCCCAAGCAGCAGAAAGAGGGACCTAGAAGATTCAAGGACTCTGTTGGCCGGATGGCAAGGACGACATCCCGGCGTCAAAGCTCCACGCGCAACCATAGTGTCGCTTGGGCGTTGGCAGCAAGGCTGTTTTTTGTTGTTGTGGGAAGGCATGGGAAGGCATGGGAAGGGGAGAGATGGGGAGTGCAGTGCCCAGCCAAGGAGCCTTTCAATACTCCGAAAGTTGCTCGGAAGTTGTTTGACCGATCGTTTTCGTGCCCTTGGGATGGCGCTCGGCGTCCGGGATGTGCACAAGGGTGCTCCTGTGGCTGGACAGAGCGATGCCATCCAAGCTATGTCTTTGTCCCAGACAACTTAGACAACATCACGCGTGACAGCCGTGACAGATGGGGGCAGTTGGTGGATGTCGGTGCATGCGGCATGGACTTTCGAGTTCCAGTGCTGGTGTCGCTGCTGTTGCCAGTATTCTTGCTGACTTGCTTGATCTCGGTCCGACGAATGTCTGCAAATGTTACCTACTCAGACCTGAAAGTGTTTCGAACAAGCCGTCGTATGGACGCCCTGTGCCAGAAGCGCCTTGGCTGAGGGAATCGGAATTCAGAAGATTGAGTGGTACGCTAATTGTGTTCTTTCTGACTGCGCTTTGGATTCTCGAGTGCCTTCACGCCCCCATTCCAAGAATCTGTGAGCCAAGGGAGCGGGAGGTGGGAGACATAGCCAGATCGTTGAGGCAGTGCTGTTAACAATTCTTTGCGTTGTTTGTGTGTTTGTTTTTGTTTCCTTGTTTGCGTCAGGGTGTGCGTATGTGTGTGTGTGTGTGAATCATATCGAGACCCGTACCCACGGGTCTTCGAGCAGATTGGCACGACACTTTCCCTCGTGGCCACATCACCGCCACATACTGCTGGATCCACCATCCGACGTGTTTGTGCTGGACTTATCACTCGTCAGTCAATATGTGTTCCTAGCGCTGCAATGTTTGTTAAACATCATTGCGTTCTTGTTTCAGCCTTCAATTTGTCAGGGCACGGAATCTGTTTTTGAATCACTCGATCCAATCCTCTAGTCCCCAAAATCATGCCCGCAACGACAATCAGCGGCATGATTTTCAGTGGTGCTCAGATGAGGACCGCCGGGAGAGCTATTGCCACACTCCCACGCCGATTGCAACTAGGACATTGAATCCAATTGGACTTTGCGTGACCTGAGTTTCTAAGTCCACCATGCACAGACAATCCCACTCAAACTTCGAAAGCGTCGATATCGTTTCGGACACAGCTCCAAAAGAAAGACTGTTCCAACGGAATCAATCAGAGCTGTGCTGTCGTCGTTGCGAGCAAAAACACAGCCCTGGTGGCTGTGTGTCTGTGTGTCTCCAACTCTGTCTGTCACTAAGAGATGAGTTCAAGCAAGGGGACATGGCCCATTCATGAGTCCACTGCCAACGAAGATACTCCTGAGATGGGAGGATCTTGATCAGGGACGCCGGATCTACGTACCTGCAACAAATCGGGCGACATGTTGTGCCGTGCAGGTTCTCGTGGTGAATTGTCCTGTTTCGCTGTTGCACAGGCGTAGCCGTCTAGCAAATGGTGCATTTCCACGATGACTTTGATGCTGGTACCTGTTCAGCCTAGTTGAGCCAGTGACAAGTGTGTGTGTGTGTGTGTGTGTGTGTGTGTGTGTGTGTCTCTGTGTGTGTGTGTGTGTGCGTGTGTGCGTGTCTGTGTGTCTGTGTGTCTCTGTGTGTGTGTGTGTGTGTGTGTGTGTGTGTGTGTGTCTGTGTCTGTGTCTGTGTCTGTGTCTGCGTCTGCGTCTGCGTCTGCGTCTGCGTCTGCGTCTGCGTCTGTGTCTGTGTCTGCGTCCGTGTCTGCGCCGGAGTCTCTGTCTGTGTCCGTGTCTGTGTCTGGGTCTGTAGGGGTGCGGGGGCTTCGGTTCGGGACGGTTAGATCAGAGGGTATTTCCGATTATGATTATGCTCTTGGCTTTTCCAGTGCAACTTCACCAGAAGACTTGTGCACGCTTGCGTCAGGCGGAAGGGACGAGAGATCCAAGAAATCCAGAGCTGAGTGGCGGATCAGCGACAGGACAAGCCATCCTCACACGCGTTTCTCATACCGGCAGGTAGTGTCTGTCCAGCTTTCATGCGCAATTGGGGCATAAAAGGGCACAGGCAGCAACTAGAACCCCGGACTTGCGAAGGGGTCGAAGTTGGATAAAGTGGAAATCTCTTGGCTGACTGGAGCAGACTTGTGGAATTTCGTGCTGGTGCCATTTGGCCGCAGCGAGCCAGCAGTCTCAAGTTGGAGTCTTGAGTGCACCAGAACTCAAACCACAGTCACAAAGAACGTCATCATCAAGGGCCTTAGACTCACGGACTTAATCAGTTGAACAGCATGAACGCCATTTGGGGCGCCACGGCGGCCTTGAGGCTCGTCGCGGCGCGATTCTTGGACTTGTTGTGTTTTGACGATGGAACCAGGGCGCTTGCAAGTAGATGCCAAGACTTCGGGGTCCTCAGATCTGTGACCAAATCAATGTAGGAGCCTTGCGGCAAGGCATCTCAAGCAGCTCTCTGTGCATAAGAAGTTCGCAGGGGTTGAAGTCGAGACAGACGAGCAACAGAGTAATCTAACCTAAACTTGATGTGGGAGTTCCACGGAGCCACAGATGACATGAAGGACATGAAGCCCAAAGCGAAATGGCGTGCAATGCTACTTCCGTTCCAAATTCCGTGCAGAAGTGTCATATACTCAACAGCGGCACCATTTGTCAACTGATTGATCAAAGTGTGTCCCACACTGGCGCCCTTCTGCGAGTGAATCTTGTCGATTTGTCAGAAGACCGGGTTTCTTGGAAGGGAGGGGGGGGCCCAGGTCAAAAGAGAGAGAGCGGGTCTTCCTTCTCGGGGTTGTGTTCCGCTAAGCCATTCGCAGCCTCTGAGTCGATTCTTGATAGAATATTTTGTGGGTTCGGCGAAAAGAAACCCACGATGCACATGTCTCGCGATGCCTGCATGACGTCCCTCACGCCCTGACGCGATGCGACGCAGGGCATCACGAAGTCATGCAGTGCCCGATCCAGCGCCCAAGGACAGCAGAGGGTTTGTGGGAATCAGGAACTCTGGTCTGTGGGAATCAGGAACTCTGGTCATCCCAAGTCCAGTGCCGGATGGTCCACATGCTTTCACAAGTGTTGAAGGAGATTCCGAATTCCAGGGCTGCTATTTCTGCAGGCGTGAGTGCTGCACGGGCCTGGGACCTTTGGGGACAAACGTTTGCCTTTGGAGTGAAGCAAGCTGCTAGGGCGGTTTAGAGGGAGGTTCCCCTACTCCTTGTGTTTGCCTCTTCTTGAGCAGCCAGTTTGCAGGTTCTCCATCTCCGTGTTGCCAGCCAGCAGGTGCAGACCCAACTGAGTGGCCTTGCCTCACATAAGCAGCACTGGCACCCAGTAGCACATGGGCCGGATCGTAGAGTGCAGTCTGCAGTTGCATCTGGTCACAGTTGGCCTCCTGGATTCCCGTGATTTCTGTGATTTGCGACCTCGCCTCTCAAACGCTTGCGAGCTGTGTGCTTCATCTGCCCTGGCCCAGTTCAGTCTGACAGTGTACGGGCGCGTGATCGCGGGTGGAACCGGCGGAAGTGTCTGTCAGTGGCCTACTTCATGAGATCACAGAGTCCGCAGCATGGCGTAGCCGCACGGGCAAAATGACAATGAAAGAAACCTGCACCCTCAGGCACGACCACCGGAGGCAATGCTGATCATTTGAGCGAACCGGCAGCCTCCTCGATTGCTCAGCTCTGATCTTGCTGCTGCATTGTTTGCTTCGCTTCGCCCATGTTCAGTCTAGCTGCTTGTGGTGTCATATCGGTGGTGAGAATAGGCAACTGCGCCGTGAATGCTCCTGGCAAAGTGGCAATCAAGCAAGCTTGCAGCCGTTTGGCTATCCGATCTGCATGACAGCTTTGCTGAATGTGCATGAGCGCAACGCGGCATGCCGAGATGCGACAGAATACAGCAGCAAATCTGCATTTTGCCAGATCAGCTTGTTCAGACTTAATCGAGCTTGACACCTGGACTCGCACAGAGCCTGGTTGAACCGTGCTGGACCTGAAGGGCCAGCCTCTGCAGAGTAAACAATCGGTGAACCAATAGGTAAGCTACTGGTAACCAATAGGTGACCACTAGGCAACCATTAAATCCAATAGGGAACCTATAGGCCTACAGGCAGTCAATAGGTAGCCAATAGGTAGCCAATAGGTAGTCAATAGGCAACCGATAGGTAACCAACAGCCAACCACTAGCTGGCCCGTAGGTAACCCATAGGTAAGGATGAGTTTTCGGCCATGCTTACGCAAGCGCCTTTTGCCATGGCACCCGCTGCGGAAGGCGGCCTGAATCGTTGGTTCGGTTTCTTTTTCGCCCTTTGTCAACGATAAATCCGGCTCTGCACAGGCCTTGCCTCCTCGGCACTCTGCCTTGCAGGGCCGGCCAACCGAATACCGCCGCAGGTGGAGCGGGAAACGGGTTTTTGCGGCTTGCCTAGGATCGCAGTAGCCTGCAGAAAGCCAAGCCTGAACGTGTGTGGCTGGTTGTCTTGGGTGCTCGCACTCTGGGCGAAGCTAGGTGGCTTTGGACCAATTTGCACAGGCCGCCGAACTTCTGGAGGCGATAGAGAGTGTGCGATTCGCGCCTGCTTGCAACATGCATGCGCATCGCACCTTGTGGCGATTTCCAAGTTGTCTGAAGGCGGATGCTTTCGCACTGCTGGCCCGAAAGGCAGGTCGCAAGTGCTGGCAATGGATATGCCTAGCCGATTTAAGTTCAAGGGCACTGTTTCGATGTTTTCGTTGATAGCTTTTGTCGACGGACTTGGGTTTAGTTTCAGTGCCTTTCAGTGGGTTGATCGTGGATTGAACCTGATGTTGTTTCTTGTTTGCTGAGATGCCTTCAGGCTGAAGGGCTCCGAGAAGAGGTCAGCCTTGATGCAAAGTGGCTGAAGGGCATCTCTTACGAGGCGCAGCTAGGAATGGACGAGGCATTGTGTGCCCACATCTTCCCATGCTGGTCCCGCATCTCCTTTTGCAGGTGGAAGGCCGCGGCCGGGCTGGGCTGCTGGCGGACGGGTACTGCGCATGACAGCACATGGTAGTACAAGTGGCGCAAGCCGTCTTACACTTGTGAGTCCGTCAAAAGCAGGTTTCTCCCCTTCCACTGTTGTCCTCCTCGGCGCATTTTTGTCGTCAGGATCTTAGGTACTACTCGGGTGGCAATGGCTCTCACATCTTGGAGGCCGGCAGCATGAGCGCAGAGGATCAACCCTACAGCTATCCACGGCAATGGTGAGTCGTGCTTTGCATTGCAGGCTTATCGACAAATCCCTGGGAGCTTCTTGGGCCCCCTTGCAGTCGTGGAAGGTCGCGCCTGGGACCCTGGATGTGGGAAGCGACACGATCCTCGAAAGCGGTGAAGCTACAAGTCGCGGTTAGGTTTCTGGCTTTCTGACATCAGGAAATGCCTTGCATATTCGAACACTTTTTCACTGCTGGGAGCTCCTTACTTCTGCTGAAGAAGAGCGTGGCCAGCGCATCTTGTCATGCACTTTGTTGTTTCGAGGATGTGACGTTAAGAGCTGCGTGAGCTTGATGCCCGGCAGCGGAGGTTACAAGTACTGGATTTTTGCGCGCCTAGATTGGTTGTGGCTTGCACCGCCACCTGCGTTATCCGTCTTTGAAGATGCTGACGCGGCTGCTGTGTGGATTCCAGATGGCCAAGATCCTGCATTGCACTTGGCTTTCTTCGAGGTTCTAGAATGTTCTGGAATGTCCAGCCCTACTGTGATAAGTACATGTGCCTGGAGTGTGTGGAGCAGACGCGTGTGTCATGAACGTGCATGGCCGACGATTCTGTTTTCGTGTGACGTGTGTTTGAGACAAACGGCGCCTTTTGCAGCTCTGACTTGCTTGCTTGTAAGGACTGGGATGGCATTAACGACCGCTTTGCCATCGTACCACGGAAGTATGCAAAGTCGTACTTTGGCAGGTGGCCGTGGCTCGTAAATGGCAGCCTCCTTCCGATGATGCATCGAGCAGCTGCGCGAGCTGACTCCACGGTCGCCGACCTTTATCGTGGCCCAGAGTGGTCCCTGCTTGCTGCGCTGCACTGGTATCGCGTGCCGATACGCCGCTTTGGGTCCACAGGTGCAGTCCTTTGCCTGGGCGGCCGTCGAGCAAAGTATGGCCGCTGCACGAAGCCGACGAGACCAGGTGGGCTTTCCTACAAGTACAGTGCCGAAGCCAGCGAGGCCGCTGCCACTCGCCTAAGAATGATCTGAATGTTTTGCATATGCTGATGTTGCATATGCTGGTTGCATGTCTGCGTCTCATTGCGTCTCCCACTCACGCTTCCAGCCTGCGGACATCGCGATACATCATGGCATATCCCGTATGCCGAGGGAAGCACCTCATAAATAACAGTTCCAGTCGTGAAATTCACGGATCATCGGGAAATTTTGGCACTCCCCCCCAACCAACCGCACCCCGCGATAGACATGGGCAGACCAATTGCTCCTTTGCTTCCAACCAACCTGGTTTGAGACTTTGTCGTCGCAAGGCCGCCAGGACCCCATGCAGTGAAAGGGTATCGACTTTTGACTAGAAGTCAGGGTCGGGATACGTCCAATATTCTGGGTTCTTCGCTCACCCAGCTGTTTGTTGGTCCGGTTGCACATGGCCAGTTTCCCAGTTTGACCTGGTCTTGATTCGCCTTTTGCATGCCCAGTGCTTGCTGCTCCACGCAAGAGGCAAATGTTCGACGACTGCTGCAGGATGGATGGACCTCTGCTGCCTTGCTTCACACTGTTTCGGCGGGGCCATGCGGTGAGAGCGTGCATGTACTAACAGTTACGAACCGCATTGAGCACAGTCACTATGTCACCGCCCACGGCCTCCCACTGTAGCATGCCGAGGGCATGCAATCATTCTCGCATCTCCTGAAGCTTCCTTGCGAGGATGTGGCGCTATTTTGCCCAACCGAGCCTAGATCCCTCTTGCTTCGAGGAGGCCGATATCATACTTGAACAGAAAATCACCTCGTAGGACCAGGAACGAGCGCCCATTCCCCTTGACGAACTCCAGCCAGGACACGCAAGCCAGATGGTGCTGCAGCACACGGCATGGAGTGGCAGGCCCATGCAGCCTTTCTTTCATCCGCATCGTAAGTGTAAGCTTGCGCACGTGCGCATGATGCCTCCAGACCCAGCAGCTCGGCATGCCGTCTGGCCCATGCACATGCCATCACCTTGCGTGAAAGTGTTGCTGTTGATGTGCTTTGGGCTGCACCCCAGCACGCACGCGGGAAAGACTTGAAATGCCCCTGGTCACTTGCAGGCGATGCAAAGTGCTGGACCGATGCATGGTGGCAGCATGTAATCTAATCCAGGATGTGGTGCGGCATGATGGGGGACAGCAATGCCTCCAAACAACATTTCTGCACACCCAAGTAAGTGGTTTGATAGGTTTGCTCTTGATAAGGGATGTCTTCCCCCCCAATTATATACCCATCTCTGCTTCCCCGCTTCTGGTGTCACCACCCATTTGTACTCTTACTGGAAGTAGAATGTTTCCAGGAGGAGGCAGTGACCACAATGCAACAGCGCAACCCAGTACCAGGTACCACTCGGATTGAGCTCTGCATCGACCCATACGACAAAAGCACGGGAGGTTCTTTGTTTTGTTTCTTCTTGTTGTTGCGCTTCTCTCTCGCTCGCTCGAAACGACCCCGGTCCTTCAATTGAGAGCCTTTCTCTTTCAGCCTCTCTCTGTGTCTCTCTGTCTCTCTCTGTCTCTCTCTGTCTCTCTCTGCCTCTCTCTGTCTCTTTCTCTCTCTCGCTCTCCCTTTTCGCTCTGAGGTTTATGACTACGCTCGCTGTTGCTCGGACAGGCCTGCTGGACTATGGGCGGCTCAGCTAAGAGCTGGATTCATTTCCGGAGCCGAGTTGCCGTTTGCAGCCTCATCCTCGCCCCGATAAAAAACGAAGTCGTGGGTGCGTTGCAGCTTCGTGGCGCAAAACCTTCAAAATAGTCTGATGCTTCTGATTGCTTGCCTTGGCAATCTTGGCACTTTGGTGGAGTGGGTGATTGATCAATGCGTTACAGTGCCTGGAAAGCCAAGGTGCTGCCGAGTCCGGAGGTGGCCCAGGTCTCCCGACGGCAACACAGCTCTTGACACGCTTTTCACTGCAGATGCTTGAATTCGGTAGCCATCTGCAAGCGTGTCCAAAAAACCGTGGAAAGCTGAGGCTACCCTGAGCTCTGGCCAGCACTCTTTGTGCTGGCGCATCGTAGAAGCTGTGCAACGATGCCTTCTGCGGGAAGACCTGGAGCTTCTTGCAAAAAGGGCCGAGCGTCTGTCGAGTGGCATGCGAGTAAACGCTTAGACTGTCCTCGCCGTCAAATCGTTAAAAAGCGTTCTCTTTTGTAGTCGAAGCCCGAGTGTTAGTTTTTGAAAAAGAGCATGCGAGGTTCTGGCACGTACGAGGCCGAAAAACCATGCGAGGTTTTGCTACCGGACGAGTTTGTCCGGCCGCCGTCTTTCATGGCACATGACTGCCCTCTTGATTGATGCTCATGATGTTAGCCGCTCGTGGGGGCACGGGCCGGCAAAGCAAATGACTCAGGGCAGATCTACAGTTAGGAGGCTGAGTGAAGAGAGCCCATGCCGGGAATTGTCGAAGCACGCATGGATAGTATCGAAACTATCGGATAGTCGTGCTCGGTGGACTGGAGGTCGATGTCGCCAGCCTGGCAAGTTCTTACAGCAGGAGATGCGGTGAGTGGGACCCAGATTCGGAAGGAATGATGTGCTGAAAGCAATCCAGTGAATGTTAATGAATACCCCGATGGACTCCTTGACTTCTCCGTCGCTGCCAAATGGTGCCAGGCAAGTGGGCCCGGCGGGGACATTTACATCCTCGACAAGGCTCACCAACTACGCATGCTGACGGCCTTGTAGCGGTGTTCGTGGCTTCACCGATGATGACGCCCAGTGGAATTTGCAAAGACATCTGCCTTTAACTTAATACGCTCTGCGGTCCACAGGCGTGCGCCCGGGTCAGGGCCTCGATCCTCAGGCAGAGCGTGCCAGAGCGTAGTCCGCCAACGATTCTAGTGTCCGCTGAACATGGTTCATTGCACCGAATATCCTGCGATGATCTCTTGGTACTTCATTATGGAGAAGCAAGAGATATGGTCTAGGTTTCCCCATGTTGTTGTGATAGTCATGAGTCATACTCCTGGTCAAGCAAGGTGTGGTGAGACTCTTTTTGTGGCCTTTCCTGAATCATTAGAAGACCAGTGCCCAGTGCCCTAATTCCAGTGCTTTCTCCGGCGTCTCTTGGAACGAATGCAGAGAAAACCAGGAAACATAAACTACACATAGTAGCTCATACAAAGACTGTGTGAGAGAAGGCATGCAACCTTCGAGAGTTGATGATGATTACAAGAGAGGCGAGTGTGGGCCATTCCGCCGCCTCTGAGATGCCGAGCCATCTCACACACGAGTCTCTGCATTTGTTGTGCGACACCGCGCACGTTGCGTGACATCCTGAAAACTTCGAGCAGTGCTCATGTGTTCAGAGAATTTCGAAAAATCAAGAGTACCCATAAGTGCACGCACTCTCTCTCTCTCTCTCTTGTGCATTCGGGGTGGGACAACATCTGGTGTGCTGGAAAAATTGGGGTCAAACACAGATCGGAATGGACAAGAGGCCGCAAGAAAAAGTGTCCATTTTTCCATTTAGAGAAGATCGCAGTAATGAAAGGCGTACTTTCTCCGGCGCATACACGTGGTTGGTGTGTAGCTTGAAATTTCTTGAGTCCTACTTGTTCTGGGGCAACAGTGGCAACACATCTTTGAAGAGGACGCTGCTGCTGCTGCTGCTGCCAAAAAAAGAAATCCAACCAAGTGTCGCATCCATTGTGTGGGCCACGCAACATATTCTCATCAGGTTACCTTGGCAGCGGTGGCTGGTGGAAGCTCGGGTGGCGGCACGGTGGTTGCGGCGCTCTGAGGTTTGTAAGCCATCTCGATTCTGCGATGTGAGGGTCCATGGCTGCTGTCGCTTAGTGATATGTGATGAGTGCGGGGGACCACAGCCTCGTCACAGTGGTGTCACGAACGATGCCCTGATCATCAAGCCATCCCAGGAACTCCCCTGGCAACTGTCGTAAGTGTGGCAAGCTAATCTCAAGTTCGGCGCTTGGAATCCGAGGCCGGAGGTTCCTCTGGCTCTTTCCTTTCGAACCTCTACTTTCCCGAGGCATGTTGGGACTGAGCTGAGCTGGCTAAAGGGGTTTATGTGAAACTAGGAGCCGGTTGCCGCAGCAGTAGCTGCGGTGTGCTGTGTTTCTCCTGCCAGCGTCGGTGCTTAACAGGCTTTTTGTGGTTTCTGGAGTACCACTTGAGCTCGCCTGTGCTGTACTTCGCTAGGCAGTTTAGTAGGCCCGAAGATCGGCAGCTCCTGCGGCAAGATGCGACTCTCACTTGTTGCTTCTGTGCCTGATTAGCAGTATCTGCTGCAGGCGCTGGCATTCGATGATTCATCTGGCCATGACGGCGATGGTTTGAGTCGTCCAATATGTGGATGTCTGATACAACGTTTCATGCCCGTGCATGCGCTTTGCAGTTTAGGTTGACCCTTGCCTTGGCTACTTCCCACGCTCCCAAACCCAAGTACTCAACCCTACGAACATCGATGGCATGTTAGTCGCTAGCCGTTGAAGGGAGTTTCTCATTTTCGTTCTTCGGGTTTTTGACGTTTGCCTGTGTCATTGATAAAGTCGTGCACTCGCAATTTCTGTGTTTTTTCTTGTCAAGTGCGGCGCCAGGTCAAGTCTATGTGGCAGATACCCAGAATCACCGGGCCGGGTGCAAGTTCGGTGCAAATTGGCAATTGAAAGGAGTTTTGGTAGCTTTGGCAATTTGGGGTGTGCTTCGCGCGTAGACTCTGCTTAAGAGAGCTCCGTCGGCCAAAAGCAGCTTCTCTGCATACAGGTTGCTAGATGCTGCCGATTCAACAGCTGGTGTGTTAGCTAGACCTGCGAGCTCCGCATGCTTCCTTGCAAAGAATTCGACAGTAGCCCGCCGCAGGCATGATGTAGACTCTGCAGACTTTTTACACCCAGCTCGGTAGGTGGTGCGTTGGACGCCTGCCGGTGCTACAGGGACGGCTGTGGCGGGCGACCCGGAGACCAACTTTGATCTGAATGTACACGCAATACACGCAGGCCCTTGCTGGACAGCGCCGTGCTGCATATGACGTAAGCGAAGTGGCCCTACGACGAGCTCCGGAAAACAGATGAAGTGTTTTTGGACTTGGGGCAGTCCTGCAGAGCCTGCAGTTGGGAAGGCTTCTACAAGCACTGAGACTGTGAGGGCTTTGTATCTGCCAAGCCTCAACCTCTCAATCAGTCATCGTTATTGGTTGCCCACTTGTGGAACCCGCAGTTGCAGGTGGACGGTGGCCCGAGCACAGCGGCAGGCCAATTTTCAGATCTTCCAAGAAAAGCATCTCCACCTGCTTGTCTTACAGTTCTGGCTCGGGTTCTTTCTCATCGATGCTGTCTCTGCTCATTGGACTTGGATTAGCTTGTGCTGAAGCTTTTGGCAATGGCAGGGAAGCTCAACTTTCCTACCGGACTGGCGCTGGCAAACGGCGATTGGCCAAGCCGGGTTACTAATGTGTTTGTTTGTTTGTCTGTGTGTCTGTTTGTCTGTGTATTTGTGTCTTTGCGTGTGTGTGTGAGTGTGCGTGAGTGCGTGCGTGTATCGCGTGCGTGGTTTCGGCTGAGCACCTTTGTTTTGCTCTGGTATGCGCCTCAGGCACCAGGACCCCAATTATGGTATCTTACGCTTCGTGGTCACGAATGTTTGTTTGGCGTGCTCACGCTTTCTGAAACCTTCGTCTTGGATCGCTGCTGCATATAGGTGTGCTACCCACATGACGCGTGAATAAGGACAAGGAGGAAAGCAGATTCCAAGGTGCATGCCTAGCAACACACATAACGATTGCATGCGTATGTGTGTGTGTCTACAACATTTGGCTCGCGAAGTGTTTAAGCTGCGCTAGTGCAGCCTTGTAGATGCAGTTGCTTAGGTACTCACAGTCGTTCTTGATGCATCTTGATGCCATCACACAATCAGAGCAGAGGACTGATTTCAAATAAGCTTCCCACTATGACAGCGCGCAGCAAGACTGCCAGCTAGACTGGCTCACGCATAGATGGGGCAATGGGGTCGCCCCGAATCGCCGTGCTCCAGCGGCCATGAGCGGAGCCACTGCGTGCGACGTAGAGCTCCTTGGACTTCCGGAGGGCGAGCCCTAGCTGGACAAGTTTTTTTTTTGTTTTTTCAGTTGCTGCTTGTGTTCATGTGGCGCCTCGCCGCCTGTGGAGACTTGCAACTTGCAGCTGGCTACCGGACGCAGCATTTGTGCAGAGGTATTTCCTGGCTCTTTTGGAGGGGTTTTAGAGGCTGGGCTCTTCTCTTCTAGGTGTTTCGCAAAGTGCGCAGCATGCACTTTGTTGGTGCCCCACAATTCCCGCCCCTCCCTCCAGTTGAACCACGGTGACACAGACACCGGGTGGTCAGGCTGTTTGTATAGACAACATCCAAATTTTCATGCCCTTCTCCATGGTACCTTCTTCGTCCATTGGCTTCATCGTGTTGTGGTTGGGGGTTGCTGCCGGGTTGCTGTTGTCAAGGGACCGGGGACGTCATTCAGGCAAAAAAGGGGAGCCGTTCACCAGCATGTTCTCCTGTGCTCAGGATCATGCTTGCAAAGACCAGGCATATCTTCGCGACCTCGTGAACGGTGCAGCTGGGCCACAACTGTGCTCATGTTGTAAGCTTTGCCAAGCTGCCAAGCGTGAGCTTTTTAGTACTCTGAAGGCATGGTGGGGCAATCTGGGTGATGCGGGTATACAGCAGGATGATTTTCCACTGGAGGCTGTTCGGGGCATCATGACTTGATGCACGCTGCTTTGGAGTTTGCTTAGTGAGCCTGAACCTGCCAGGAGGATCCTTTGAAGCAGTGCCTCTTCCATGAAGGCTGCCTTGATATGTCACTGGTTCATGTGCTTGGCCGCGCTGGATTCACAGCATGTTCCGCACCCGCCCAGGTAGGGTTACTCTCCGATTCTGCACGCCGGCAGCCGCAGCTCTAGCTCTTAACCTGATGCCTGACCACATGGGAGCGCGGGTTGTTCCCGCACGAGTGCTTTTGTGCAATGTTTCGGGTTGTTCAGGGTTCTATTTTGGACTGCTTTTTCTTTGGACCTTGCTCCCCTCGCGCCCCCCCACCCCCCCCCACGCCCCACCCACCCCCCCACCACCCCCCCCACCCCCACTGCGTGCAATGGGCCCCAACTCCGACTCCCCCTCGCTTGTCAGCGAGGAGTTGCTTCTCGCAAGCCTCGTTTTAGCCGCACAAGCTTTGGTTTCAAAACATCATGCCATCAAGGGCAACCATACGAGTGTTTAAATGGTCCCGAGCCACCTCTGGAAACAGAGACGAGTATGATTTCCCGAACATACTTACAACACAGCTATGTCTTTGAAAAGTATTGAGGGCAGATAGAAGGAGCCCCTTCTTTTGGAATCTGGAAGCTGTTCGAAAATTCTAGGCCTTAGGCTTACGTAGATGAGACTCTTCTGGAAACTTGATAGTCAATGCCGTTCGGTAACTGTTTTGAAAAGATAAAGCAAGGGCCGTCACTACGGCGCATGAACATACAACTTTTCTGCTTGATACAATTCGTTGTGCCCATGAACAGTTCGCAAAACAGTGTTTCAACACTATGGGTCCCAACGTCCAGAGACTAAGATTGACGTGACTGCGCGGTGCTGGCGCCCGGCACGTTGGCCCTCGCTCGAGGCTTGCTTTCATTTTGGAGCAACACCGTGCTCTCGCCAGGGCCTGGCCGAAACGTGGTTTTTCATCTCAAATCACATGCTGTCGGCCTCGCGGAGGGTGTCAAATCGCGCAGCTTTTGGATGGGTTCACTGCGAGCGAGCAGTCTAGGGGACTCGCATTTCGCGGTATTGTAAAAGTACGGTGGGCGGGGGTCTTTCCTACGAGGGAGGGGGAGGAGAACTTCTTTAGCTAAACGATTTCACAGGCGCTGACCCCGACAGGGGTCGGCAGATCCCCGCCAGACAAGTTTTTTTGGACCATCCGCACCTTTGTTATACCTGCAAAAAGCGACCATGAAGAACCGGCAGTATCTACCCACGTCGTAGCGTGTAGTAAGCTGTGTGAGTATCAAGCCGCGACTGTTGGGAACCAATTCGTGCACACTGCGAAGTTGAAGAGCTTTGAAGTGCACATGCTTTTGACGGTTCTTCCCTTTCTGGTTTCAAATGTCGCGATAGTATCCCAAGTGCATCTGCACGTGAAGGCTAGTTCGACAGGCTTGCAAGTGCTAGAGCACATCTTTCCAAGCAATGTGCCTTGCCTGAGCAGGCTGGTCGTTTCAGGGTAACTCGTGACGCAGGGTCGTAGGGTCCCATGCAAGGCGAAAAGGCCGGAGGGCTAAGGTTCCGTCCAAACACCAGTCTTCGCCCAGGAGAGGCATTGTCTACAACGGCGTTGAGCTGCAGTTCCGGCAAGCAGCGGGTGTGCAGGTGAAGCCACCGAAGAAAGCTGAAGAGATACAAGTGGAGGACGCAGTCTCCCGATGCTTTTTGCTTGTGACGACGAGTGTGCATATGAGTGTGCGTATGAGGGCGCACATGAGTTTGCAGGATCTCCGGAGTATCCTCGGCTTCCTCCCCACAGAAGCTTTTGCGATGAACCTCGCTTCCACAGTGAGTGTCTCACAATCTGACAGCAGCCTTGCGCTTTGCTTCGCACTTCAGGCCTCAAAGCTTCGTGGAAACCATCTGGACAGGCAATGTCTTTACAGAGGTTCTGGATTCATGGGTGAAGCTGGCCCCTCAGAGCCACTACGACCTACTGTGACTTGGCCGGCGAAGGTATGACATAGGAGCGCATGCCGAGAAGGACAACTTTGTAAGCATAGTACAGTAGATTTGCAGGCCTAGAATGATGAAGGAACCTTTCCAGGTCGGTGGACCGCTGTGCATCCAGAGATGAAATCTTGGCGGGCTTCCGGCTGCTCGGTGGTTTATCTTGATTCGCAAACGTGTGCTCGTGTCCAACCTGCTGGCACTTTCAGTTGGTGGCGCCGAGGCGCCAGTGCCGTGCCGGCTCACAAAGTGACGCAGGCGTGTCGTCGTCTGGTCAATTTTTTTTTGTGTTGTCCAACCTGCGGATACCTGCGGTGTGCTCCGATATTTTGGAGAGGCAAGCTGACAGCAGCATGTCGGACACTGACGACCCCACAAAAGATGCTCAGCTCGAGTCGACCCAACCCCGACAATGAAACCTGGCACGCCATTCGTTGCCGAGGAAATTTCCTTATGACCACCAGCCTGAGCAGTTTGTGTGGGATGCTGTTCGGGCAGCGAAGCATGGTATTTTCCAGCCAGCAGTGTTCGTCACTTGGCTGCGAGCTGATCTCACCATATCTCACCTCCTCGGTCCCTACTTCGTTGGCCTCGTTGTGTCCACATGCCTGTTCAACACAAGTCGGCCTGAGGTCCTCAGGCATTTGGACCAGCTTCGGAAAGGTCATGTCCGACGCATTGAGGCTGGAAGTTCTGCAGATGCACTGGCAATCATCCAAGAATAAGGAAAGGTTCCACAAAGCTGTCGCCACGCCACATCACAACTGTCACAGGTGCCTCCGCGGCATAGCCCGACCTTGCGAATGCACAAAAAGGTCATTGTGGCCAGAAGTCGGGGAGCCGACCTGTGCGTCGTGCTCCTAAGCAGCACTGAGCGACGCTGTAATTGACACATGACTGATACATGTGTGTCAAGCAATGAGGGCCTTTTCCTCGGGAGTTTCTCTGGACTGAGTCCAGGTCGGCACTGGAAAGAAGGCGTCTTGGTTGGGGAACGCTGAAGTTGTGTTGATGGTCGCAGCGCTGAAATTTGTGAAAGAGAGCTGAGATAGCCGAGGTTCGTACCCTCTGAAGTGTGGGTTGTGGGCGACAGCGTGCAAAGGCGAGATGTGGAACATCTTGTGCGGCGAGCAGGAGCGGGGAAGTGCCAGACGCGAGGAAAGCACTGTGCTGTGTAGCCTCGTTGATTCAGGAGAGGAGGCAGACGGGGTACATGCGACCTCAATCTTCCCACAGCCCGCAACGCCCTTGCCCCTTGGCTGCACCGGAAAAAGCTCCTTCATCGTTCGGCAAAAGAGTTGTCAGGTTCCACCCAAATGCGGTGCCGACGATGCCGCAACCGACGCCAACAGTCCCGCCAAAAAAGCCGCCAGGGCCTCCGCCAGCCCCGCAGCGAGTGCCCGTCAACCTCAAGCCAGCGCCACATGTTGTACAGGCGCCAGAAGAGGGCTTGAAGCGCAAGGCTGCATCGGTGCCAGCCCCTCCCGCTCCACCGCCGAAACAGAAGCCAGCTCCATCGGTAGCCCCGGTGCCGAAGCCGGCGGCACCGGACAACGAGGCAGAAAAAGCCTACCAGAACGCTTTGAGACTTGCGGAGATGGCGAAGGTCCCAGAATCTCTGCGAAGTCGAGAAAATCTCCAGCCGCCGAAGATGCTGCATGCAAAGTTAGCAGTGTTTGTATATGCAGTACGCCATCTTTTTGGCGAGCGCAGGTTCACACAGGCTGTTCACTAGATCTGCGTTGGCTAGTTGGGAGAGCACAAGCTTGTAGCATCAGCCCACCAAGGAACTGTGGACACTTCTCTCTCCTGGTGCGCGTGAGTGGCGAAGATTATGAGGCCTTCATTTGTGTGTATCAATTGTGCATCCCTGCTGTGCGGAGAGCTTTTGGGCTCTGATCTTGCTCCTGTGGCTGCCACTTTGCTTCTGTTGTGGTGGTCTTACACTGCGGCCTTCGCCGGCGCCCTTCGAGACCCTGGAACGCCTAATCCGCATGCTGCAAACCTTACACTTCTGCGCCCCGAAAACAAATTCGGGGTTGATCTAGTAGAATCTAGACTAAGGGGATTATGGCCTCTTTGCACTACAAAGGCCCATGACGCGCAATTCTGCCTGAAGTGCTTGTCTGCGGGAGGTGGAACGACTGGTGGTTCTAGAAAACCCTGAGAGGCCCAACAAGCATCTTTGGGGAATTTGATCCGCCTTGAAGTCTCCTGGCAGGAGGGCCAGCCAGGTATTACATCTATGCTGGCTGGTTTGTACTGCATCGCCAAACATGAACCTGGTGGTGGCGGATTGCCTGTTTTCGAGACTTGCAAGCATCCATTGGAGCGATGCGAGGGCAGGTCTGTCGAAAGTTCAATGGAAATTTCAGTGAGAACACGAGTGTGTGCTGCAAAGTTCAGGGCCCAGCCACACAGAAACTTATTGTTAAATTTTTCGAAGTTCAAGTGCTGCTATGACCTGTTGCCTTCATGAAAGTTTTGTAGTCATTTTGACAAGACCAAAGGTGAGAACCATTTTTGCGATATGCAGATGATGCAATTTTTTTCATGAATCACCTGCTGGGCACGCCCCCTTCATGTCCACCAAGTCGCAGGCATAGAGCAGTTGTCGCCTCTTCGGTCTGGCGACAAGTATTGTCGCAACCCAAAAGTCCTGGACCCAAGAAAACTTCAGGGACGCAGCGCTCACCGTAGGCGTGTTGGGACGACACAAGGGAGACCGCGGAGCGACACTCCACAAGCTGACTTCCTTTTTCATGCATTCCCTTCCTGCAACATCCTGTCGCGAACGTCACCTTTTGGAAGCAATTCACCAGCCATCAATGTAAGGGCCTCAACTGAGAGAAGGTTGCTCTTGCATAAGCCAGCCTCATCAACGAAGAGAAAGCCGGATGCCTTGCATGTCACAAAGACGCAGATTGCCGCAGATTCCGAAGGTTGGCTCAGTGGAACAGGCCGTGGTTATGGCTTAAAAGAACGTTCTTAATGGGCCAAAGTTATGAACAAGAAACCTGCGGAACCGAGTTCATTCTGTCGCATGTGGCACTTGGGCTTCCGGCTTGTCCCTCTATTTTTGCCATGTTACGCCGACCGGTCACAGACTGCCCATGGTATGCTGACGCACAAAGGGGCTCACTGCCAACAAAAATCGTCTCTTCTCCATGAAGTCATCTGGTGGGATGCCGCACCGTGGGGGGGGGCATGTCGTGAACTGAGGTCAAGACACTGCCGAAGAGAACCCAGGAGCAGCGGGCGGTAAAGATCTACCACCAGGCGGGCCGCGACGAAGTTGAAGCTCTTGCGAGATCTTGCGACATCTTGCGACATCTTGCGACTCTTGGTGTCTCTGAGACTTGCACCAGATTCCAGACTGGATCGGCTGCACGACCGAGACAAGCGCACTCTAGCGTAGTCAGCCATCTTCAGTTGAGTTGTGCTGTAGAGACTGTCCTGAGACATCCGGAGACATCCTTGGAGGACCGCCAATGGTGGATGGGCGAGACGGTTGGCGCAAACGAAATCTGGGCACATGCAGGTCCTGGCCCGGATGGCTGGCCGCCGAAGCGAGGCTGGATCTGGGAGGAGCAGGAGCTTCCTCGACTGCAGATCGAGGCCACTGGAAGTTATAATATGTCCTAACATACGTCTCACTAGGACCTAATCCCGCCCTTTTTTTAGAGCGGAGCGCGGACACGTGAACGCGTGGATTCCCGTTTCACGAAACTCGGCAGCGCGGCTGCGGGGATGCGAATAGGGGCCCTCGTAGGCAGCGACATGGTGAGAAGCGCAATCTTCAGCGACCCTAGCCCTGAAGCTGTGGGAAGGCCATTCGCCTGAGCGAGGATGGCAAGGAGGTCGAGGCTCCTCGTAAAGTTCCTGGGGATGCCCCAAGGAAGGAGCAGCGCAGCGCGCAGCGCAGCGGGCAGCGCAGCGACCAGCCCTCTGAGCAGCCAGCCAACGCGGCGAGTCGCTCTGGTGGCACGCCCAAGGTTGGTCAGCAGAATGCCAACAACATCCACAAGCGCCCCTTGGCCCTTGGCATCCCTTGGCGGTTGCCAACAAGTAAACAGACAGCTTCGGGAATTTCAGGGAAGTATCGAAATATTCCTCTTTCACACCGTTTCTGCTTGCCTTCAAGCGCGGAGAGTGTTGAGAAGAGCTCCGAGCAAGCATTGAAACAAGCTCCTAATTGCAACGCTACGCGACCCACCTCGGCAGGGTCTCGTGACCACGGCAGCGGCAAGGTCGCCACTTCCAGGAAAGCTAGCTCTTTTGGAGAGAGGTAGGGAATGGATAAAGGAGGCAGGTGGGGAGGAAGGAGTCGGCAGGCGGCAACAACAGGAAGCACAAGAAAAGGATAAGGAGGAAATGTAGGGGTGGAGGGGGGGAGGAAGTGGGCTAGAGGCGGGCTGGGGGTAGGGGGCCGGGGAGGGGGTAGGGGAGGGGGTAGGGGGGCCAGGGGAGGGGGTAGGGGGGGTCAGGGGAGGCGGGTGACAGGTTATTGTTCCCTAGGGTCAGCGGCAAATGCCGGGGAGGGGGGGAAAGGTGGGGGGCCTGCTTTATGCTCCTTATACACCTACGGCCTGAGCCCTGGGCAGATTTAATGTGAATGGATCCTTCTCCGTGATGGCGATTTTGAGTGCGACAGAGGCTTGTTGACCGAGACCGAGACGATAGATGACAGCGACAGCCCGAGGAATAAGAAACCAGCCACATCGAGCAAGCGGATGCCCGGCATGATTTGAAGAGCCGAACGTGAATTGAAAAGGAAACTGTTTCAGGATGTTCGCACCATTTCGCACCTAGGATGTTCAAAGAGTGGCTCGACGGTTTCGACAACCAGCGGGGCGGCTACACGGAGCGCCACCTGGATAAGCTGGAGGAGCACTTCGACTCCTTCGATACTCTGAAGGCCCTTCAGTGACTTCAGTGACCCAGTGCGTCATGGCTTGCTAAAGTGAGCGTGATCTAATCAACTCTGCGTGCCTGAGGGAATCTGCAACATTGACGGGGAGACTAATCTGGAGGTGAAGAACGTCGAGTCTGAGTTCTGGCAAATTATGGGCATCACCCGTATGGGTGAGAAGCTCACATGGACTCGGCAGCTACGGAATCTGCTCAAGAATTCCTGACGAGCTTGTCGGGCTTGTACATACAGCACAAGGCATTAAATGCACATGTGCCGTGGTAGGATATGGTAGGTTTCCTCTAGATGGCAGCGCACGCCATGATCTTGGATTGCTACAGGCCACCCAGATGCCGGACAAATGTCAAGCAGTTTGCATGTCCAATGCCACATGCAACAATACTACGCCCGATCTCAAGCCCCATCACGGACGGCTTCAGATAACTTGCTAAGCCCAAGGCTTCATCGTGCCAGGGAACGCCAGAGAGCTACTCTGAAAGGGTCTGGAAGTAGTTTGGGAAGGCCCTGAAGAAGTCAAATAAGTCAAGTCGGTATGTCGCGTGCGATGCCACGCCCGGATCATGTCGGAGGACCCGCATGCAATAGTACATCTGTCGATGTTGATGTTTACATCGTCGATCGCGCCGGCAAGATGTGCAGCTAGGTGAGCTACTCATATACAGTCGTATAGATGTGCTACGTTGTGCTTGAACACTGGTCAAGCTGCGAAGCTGTGCCAGGTGCTGGTAAGTGCTGGCTAAGAAGCGGTGAACGTCAGAAGTATCCCAACCACCGCCAGCAGGAGGCTCTGGGTGCCCTCGACAGTGGCCAGGGCGCCTGGCGGCGGAGTGTGGCACCGAGGTGCCAGTTCTTGAGCATTGATGAGCCATATGAAGCCTTCTGATTCTGTAGTGTTTGTGCGTTGTGCGGCACTAAGACACTCTGTGCAGTGAAAGCAGCATGCAGCGCATGCAGGTTCGCACGTCGGTGCTTAGCCGCCTTCCGCAGGGTTTTGCTCCGCCGCTTGGAGACGCACAGTAGCACGTGCGCAAAGTGCCGGAGAGATCCAGAGAGCTGTCGGGCAAACGCGAGTCCGGGAATTCGTGAAAGCACGACATAGCATGAGTCGGCAAATCTACGAATCCGCGAAAATGCGACGGTGAAACTGTGATGCCACGAATGCTGTGAAGCCGTGCCGGGAACATCAACCTATGATTGTGGGGGGAAGGGGGGGTCCTGGTTGGCAGCGACAAGGACGCGCTTCTTGGGCAGTGCGGCGTCTCACTGTGTCTAAACTTGAGCACCCGTTCAATATCTTTCAATGGATCGGGCTGTTATGGGCTGCTGCTCTGGTTTGCGATACGTGCGCTGGTACTGTAGCACGGACGTACTCCTCGCACTCTGACATAGATGCTCTGGTCATGGGTGTGCTGGCAGTCATCGTTCGAGTATGGATGCTTTGGTGGTTAGATGTGTAGCTAGCACAGGCGAGAGGTTAATTTTCGGGCAAGGAAACTGGTCACATGCATGCGCTGGCAGCATGGACGTATGCATCCGTTGGACATGGACGCGTAAATCATGGTTTGCGTTTGCAGTACAGAAGCCATATTGCTGAATAATGGTTTGTGCATGGGTGGTCTGGTGAATGGATGCACTGGTGTCGACCTTCATGGAAGCTCTCGTCACTTGGCCACGCCGGCAGTGCGGATGTTTCCGGCATGGGCGCTTGTCATTGGTGCTGTTGTAGCACGGACGTAATCATTGTTCGGGCATGCATGTTTTGGTGAATAAATATACTCGTATGCGCTTGTAGCACGAACATTCTCATCATTCGGGCATTGTAGCTCTAAAGAGTGATCGGATGGACTCGTAGAAGCATGAATCTGCCAATACATGCATCTCCCAATACTCGAAACTGCCAATCCATGCACCGCCAATCTTCGTTCCGCCCAGCAAGAAACGTTGTCAATAGAGGTTCGCGCTGCCACAAGCCTGTAAACTTGTTGGAAGCCCTCAGATGCTATCGTGCCAAGTCGCATCGCTGTCATTTTCGACATCTGGTGTGCAAAGGTCACAACTACTCGGAGGCTGGCGGCAAATCTGCTTGTGGAAGCTATGGGGAAAGGCTTGAGCAGATGCAGGAGTACGCAGTTTTCCAAACCTTTCCAAAATTTGTGGGCTTGCGGCTCCTTGCCTTCGTCGTGGCCATGGCCTCCAGAGCGTCATGTGGCATCCACTCATCCCTACGGTTTCAAAACCTCTGCACGCAAGTTGTGCTTAGAGATCATGTTGCCACTTTGCTTTCAGATGCTATTCAACGCAGAATGATCGGTAGCGAAAATGCTTGCGATTTTGCTGGATGGCTGCTAGACTGTTGTAGCACTGTTGCACCCAGTTAGTTGCGACTAGTTTCTGCTGGCAAAGACTGTCCATTCAGTTGTGAGTATTTTGCCAGCCTGTGCCAGGCAGTCGCCAAGTCGCTTGCTGGGAGCCCTGCAGCACAGGCCATGCTTCGCAGACTTGTGCTCTAGGCGCATCTAGCCAAGATTGGTGTGTCATTCAAAGATGGTTGTTGTTGTGTCGTAAGGGACTTGTGGTTTCCTGTGAGTTGCAATGCGGCGCAACTTCAGGCACATCGAAAGAACACTTGTCCTAGCTTGAACGTCTTTGGAAAACGCAGAAGACTGCTCTCAGGGGGCCTGGCCTCGGCTTGGAAGCGAAAGCTTGCAGGAGGCCAGTTGTCGAATCCTGTTGAAAAGAGCCCAAACACAACTTTTAGAATTCGCTGCTGTGACACACCTGCTTAACTGCTGTGCATCTGCGCTGCACAGTCCCTGAATCTCTTTTAAGGGAGAATGTAGGGGTTCGAAGCAAGATCAAGAGGCCGTCCGACATGGCCTTGGTCTGCGCTCTGCAGCTCTGCTGGGCACCTTCCTGCCCCCCGGCAGATGTGGAATTACTCAGCATTACTCAGCTTTGAATGTTAAATCAGGGAACCCTCAGTTCCAGTCTCGGTTGTTTGAAGACACGCAGGCGCTAGTGAAGCAGATTGAAGCAGCTACCTTTAGGCCAGCAGAAGGATGAGAACAGAGCAGGCGTCCCACATTGAGTGTTGGTCCAAGGTGACCCAAAGCCAGACCCTTCCAACACAGAGCAGTGGATGTGAAGTAGGATGATGTAGGATGTGGACCATGTTGAGGCAAGGGCTGTCGTTTAAAGTGTCTTTCGGGTGGTGGACAGATTTCATTGAGCAGTATTTGGGTTAAGCTGTCTTTCTTTGGCCTTATTTTGAGGGCTCCACAAGGCTGAACACCACAGTCGCGGCAATCGAGCTCGAGGAGGTTCTCGGTAAGGCGCTGACGGCCGTGGCCTGGCCGGACGGTGTCTAAGGATCTGAGAACCAGACTTGTTCTAAACCGTTTGGCGCTGTCGCGTGCTGCAAAGTCCTGCTGTCGACTGTTGGGGAACCGCACATCCGTGCTAAACGTTCAAAGCAATCACGTCAATAAGCAAGAAGAGCAAGAACGATCACCTTGGTGAGCGATCTGACCATGCAGCCAGGTCCTATGTTGTTCTTTGTGCATTATACCGGAAAGGAAATCTGCCCGAATGGCCAATAGTCCGCACCGGACAACCTCACATGTGTCGCCGCGGTGGCTCAACGGCCGTTCCCACGTGTTTTGCGGCGTTCTGAGGGCAGGCCCAGCGCGCGGCGAAGAGGGCCCCCCTGGCAGTACTAAATGTGTGCTATATTTAGCAGGAGTTAAGAGGGGAGATCAGCCGAGGACTTGCAGACACTGGGCGTGCTGTGGAGGCTTATGACAGATTCATCACAGACATCAGGAAGATGCATATGACAGCACAAAAGCTCTCGGCAGTTGCTATGCAAGAACAGGCACGACACGCAGCCCACAGTCGTAGATTGTTGCGGAAGGCCAGCGCCGGAGAGCGCATGGCAGTCGACCATCCAACTTGCACCAGTGGACGTGGGAAGGCCTGGTGCAGGCTGCGCATGACCCGCCTGCAAAGATCGATGCGCATCTGATTCTAGGCCAGGCTCCATGTTCTTCTTTGTGGACTGGGATGAGCTGCGGCCATGGCATCAGGCACACCCGGGAACATCTTGAGCGAGCTAGGTGCCCCAAGAAAGGCTTCAGAGTCATGACTGAACGAGACATGTTGGCAGAAAGTTTCTCACGAAATGCAGGTGGTGTCAAGAATTTACGTAAGTGGGCCCACATATCCAGGTGATGACAGTCACCATCGACAGCTATGCACTGCTTCGCACCCAGGCAGCGCTCAAGCACAGAAGAAGCAGCTCTGCCGTCCACATACTCCACCTAGCTTACGGGTGCATTTGTGTGTGCGTCGTTTACAGAATGTCATTCGCGACATGTGGTCCCGGCCCCTCCCCTCGAATTTGAAAACGGGTCTGGGCGAAAAGTGGTCTCAATTTTCGGGAGCATTTATCGTGTGGATAGCAAGCTCCCACAACGTTTTGGGTTTTGCAAAATACCTTGCATAGCGGGAGTTCGTATCGCGGCACATCTTGGGCCGCGTTTTTTCCATGCGAAAATGCTTGACGGAAGCTGGAACACGTGGAACAACTCAGCTTGCAACCGGCACGTTCTGGGCTTTCTTGTGGGAAAGCGGGCAGCGCCCCCTACCACCAGGATACAGTGTCGCAGCAGCCTCCACACAGGGCACTCAAGTGGCCCATGCCCAGACAGCGCACTTGAGCGCGTTTGAAGAAGATGTGAGGTGTGCGTCGGAATGGCTGATAATCCCCCTATCCGCATATTCCCTCGGTTAATGGATGCAGGACAATGCCTAGAGAGTAGGAGCACTTTGAAAGTGTAAGTGTCAAGGGAGGGTACTGGGAAACTGACACAGATGGAAGATCCCGAAACTGTTACCCTGCAGGGTGTCTGGTCTGCTTGGCGGGTGGCACAGCAATCAGAGCACCCCGAAGCATCCCCCCCATTTTTTTCGGGTGGGGGGTGGGGGGCTCCTGATGCGACTAAACTGCTCTATCAGGCGCTGCTACCAGAAGAAGCCTCTCCTAAACGTGTGCTGGTATCTTGGCGTTTGCTGAAGCTCGACATGTGAGTTTGTTTCCTGGCACTTTTGGGAAGGGTTCGAAACAGTCCTGCATCCTTGCTCCGAGGATCTCTGTGCGGGGAGCGGCGCTCGATCCCTGGCCTTACATCTGCGTTGGATAGGGCATGCCCTACACTGCCGTGGTGGCAGCACAAGCCAAACACAGGTCCAGGGACTCTATGCCGCAAAGCGCTTCGACGCCACTGTGACATTAGTGGCCTGGGGTCCCGGACAAGATCTGCAGAGCGTGAGAGATTGTGAGTGATTCTGAGTGAAGCTTTGAAGCCTCAGATTTTTCGGCTTGTGCCCGGGTTCTGGAAGTCGGCAATCTGATTTCTTTGAGCGCGAATGTGCCCGGGAGTACCGTGAACCCAGCTAGACCCAGGTGAGCTACCCGTAGCACACATGCACTCAGGACCTCAATCCGCGTGCTGTGCGATTTGCGCAGCCTGTCCGCAGCAAAGCAGGGGACCACACCACGTCGCGTGCTTCACGCGTTTAATGGCTATCGCCAGCTTTGCCGACCCCGACATAGAGCAGCTCCCTTTGGATTTGCTTACGAAATTTACGCATCGCATCGATGCCGTGACAAGCCCCACAACCCAGTCGCCGCATGCTCGAAGCACACCGAAGGTAGGCTTAAGGCTTAGGATCTATATTTGCAGCTGTGTCGTGCTGTATTTTCGGGTCAGCATCGACTTCGACCGACATCGCTCAGGTGTGAGATCCCCAGTCTTGTGGGTGGAGAGCGGGGACCTTCAGGGCACATCCGTCAAACCCAATCATGCTGCCAGGGCAGTTGTCTGACATTGCGCGGTTCTTCCTGACTTTCAAGCTCCTGAAAGCCGTTACTCGCGGACGCTGATCCCGAAGCCCAACCCGCAAAGCACGGCACGCATGGAGCGAATGTCGATGAACGACGGTACGTAGTGTTAACGAGAAAATTCCTGCAATAGGGGTTGTTGCAATGTCGTATTGTCTTTTTGGGCGAAGGCTTGTCTGTCTCGTGATGACCGCAGCTAGCCGGGACGTGGCTGGAAACCGAAAACCAATTGGCCCTTGAGTGCTGGCAATCCCGAGGAAGGCGAACATCCTCCTGAACCAAGTGTCCAAAGTGACTCTTCACCATGGCAATCTTTACGAGGTCAGCTGCGAAGCATTTTCTGATCGCACGTGTGCAGCAGGGACGCAAGGAGGCTTGTACAACCCTTCATCATGCTCTGCATGTGGCCACAAGAGTTGGCCACAAGCCAGGCATGCCCAAGGCGGTGCCGCGACGAAATTGCCAGGCAGCGCATGTCACGCACGTGATGCTGCTGCATCGGCATCTTCGGCTCTTGCGCGATCCCGCACAGGTCTTCAGATCTGGATTGTGGCTGGGGCCCGTTTGCCTGCCACTAAGCAAATATAGTTGCCTCTACTGTTCTTCTCTGCGGTTTCTGGGACCATCCTTCCAGCCATAGCCAGAGCCCCTCCCTGGCGATGCTGCAAGGACTTGGTCTTGGCAAACCCACCATATGTTCCCTCCATGGGCCCAGGCCTTAGATCGATCTCGGTCAAGCCAGGAGCCTTGAGAAATCATGTTTGCAACTATTACGTTTCCCGTCTCTGTGACCATGCCATTTGTCAGGTGGTGGGCAAATGTTTGTCTCCGGAGGTGATCGAGGGGAAGCGGTATACGCCTCGGCATGTCAAGTGTGATGATACCTGGCATGCGTCCTGCCACCTTGGACGAGAGACGGCTGAAGTGTAGTGTTGCCTTGAATGAGCTAGACAGTAGCTCCTTCCAGCTTGATACCGTACTTGCCGAAGATCTCACCCTGAAAGCGTAGCGCTTAGGTGACTGCACAAATTCTGCGTGGGGCCCCCCAGGCGGCTTGGTTTAGTGCTCTCTTCGTAGCTAAAAACTTGTGATGGCAACATAATCGTAGCTCCGAACCTCTTTGCTGGTGAATTGTTCACAGCTGTTTACATCTACAAACTTGTGATGGTAACGTAAACGGCTGGCTGCATTTCATGGTGGCTCTGAGCCCAACTTGTCTGACAAAAGGGACTAAATGAGATGTTCTTAGTGCAGTTCACTGTTCCTCCGTCGCAGTCCCTTGGTGGTCGCGGCACTGCGCAGGCTTTGGCGCCAGGAGGAAGACTCCTCCTCGTTGCTAACCTGGCAAATGTGGATGGTCCGAAGCCCGCATTCTGGTGTAGAGTCTTGCAAGCTATCGCAAGAACTCTCCTGGATACCGAAGCTATCCACGATCCAGGCACCAAGCCTTGACAATTATTCATCCCCCTTTCTCCGATGCTGCGTACCAGATCTAGATTCAGAAAGCCGGGTCCCGTCTTCAGAATCTATCAACTCCTTTTTCAGAATCTATCAATTCCTTCTTCAGAAGCTATAAAGCGACCGCGCTGGCGTGCGCCGCCTCGGCCCGGCGTGGACGGCCCCAGGGAGTCTCATGACATCCTATCAGTCCTAGTAGGGTCCCAGCAGGGTGATCCATAGAGGTGGGATAAGGTTTGTCCGTGCGGTCTATATGGGAGAAGCCAGGGCCCCGAAACCACAAGAGCACCTCTTCGCAAAAGTTGGGAGACCAACGGGGGGTCCTGCATGACGGCGGCGAGGGGACCATGGGCCTCCTATCCGATTTGTACCGGGGCCATGAGCCTGTTGCACAGCTGCACCAGGATGCACTTGGGGCTTGGCGTTTGCACAGCAAGGCGACTACATATCCAAGCTGCGCAGTTGGTGGAATACGCGCGAGGCCAGAAGCATCTCCCCGAATGTGCAAGCAATGAGATCAATGTCAATACCACACACAGTGAATTGCTAAATGCCCACTACTGTAGTCAGCCTCAGCCACTTGTTCTGCAAGCGTGTGAAGACCATTTCCAATCAACGTGCTCCGCAGCCGTTTTTGCGCGTCATGGCGCCCCCACCGACGAGGTTAAGCACGAGCAGGGATAACCAGTTCGCATGGTTCCCATGCCTTTTGCTGCCCTCCTCGGTGGTTTCTTTGGCAACATCATGCGGGGTATTTTTGGTGGGGTGGCAAGGATGTTCGGTGGCCAAAGGTCGGGGGGTACCGCGGCTCCGGGACAGAAACTACTTGCTCTGCAATCCGAGGTTGCAATGCAAATTGCCACTGCGCACTTCTCTATCCTCATTCTAGCATCTCAGCTGAAGAAAGAAAGAGGAGCTGGACCGCTAGTGCTCGCCCCACGGAGAGGCCCCGGGGCTTGCCTCCTTGCCCCCAAGAAAGAAAGAAAGAACGAAAGAAAGAAAGAGACTGGGTCTCTTCGGGGCGGGGGGGGGGTGCCTTCGCTGAGTAGAAGAAGAAGAGAAGAGAGACTGGGTCGGATGTCGTTGGCGACATGAACCAACTATGGACCATTTGTTACGGACCTTTTGTGGCCTTGTGGGCATCTCTTCTTTTAGCAGTGGCGGATTGAAAACTCACTGAATAGCGGGAAGTTCGACAAGCACTACTGAGGGGAGGACTATACTGAGTGGAGGAGGCACTGCAGACGCTACTGGCAAGCCGGTTCAAACGTAACATAACCTGACCCAACACCTTTTAACCACCTGCATAGCTTCGATGAGGTGCCCAGAGCCAGCATTCCTTCTCCCCCAAATTGCAAAGCGGACCGGACCGCCGTGTTTGGGTGTGTGCCTGGTCTTCGAAGCGAAGTAGCGAAAACTAGAATATGAGACATGCCCAAATCACTGGTTGCTGCAATCTATTTGTGTGGGCGCATTTGGCGCCTTTGCGTTGGGAGACTGCATGAGATTGTTTTAGATCGTGCAAACAAGTCGCAAATCGCGGCATCAGTAGCTGTGCATGATTTCTTCAAGTCTGACGACTTGTGAAGGCTACCTCATGTGATTGTCTGTCAGGTCTGGCCTGCTTTTCTCAAATCAGGCATTTCAAGTCTTCGTTTAGAAAGGTTCGTCAGTGAGAGGGTCTGACACGGATTGTTTTAAGTTGCTGATCCAAGGGTTTGGCCGCAGTGCTGGGCGTGGCGCTCGCCGTGGCAGTGCCCAAGGCCCGTGCAGAGGGTACCAATCTCCGTCCAACCTTTTTCAACCTTTCAGTGTTGGTACCCAAAAGCACAACATCACGTAAGTGAGCATTGTCACATTCTTCAGGGGCTCCTGAACGGCATCACCTCGATCATGGCCACGGCATTGCTGCTGAGATGAACCATGAAGAGGGCGTTCAGATGAGAGCGATCAGACCGCACACTTCCAAAGTACACTAAGTACGTCCTTCATGTTACTCTCGAGTGGACTCTGTGTGGGGGCACCGTGGCATCAACTACGCTGCGGCTCGAGGTTGCTCAGTGCTTCCTACGTTGACGTGCTGGACCGGGCTGGGGAATCGGGCTAGGAAAGAGCGACAAGAGCATGACTAGTGCATGGCAGCGTGTCAGCCCACAAGCATCTTGGGGTACAGTGTGGTCCAGTATGGGAGTGCTACCCTAAGACAGTAGACTTAGGCCGCGTCGGCACACTTGGATCCAGGACCAGGGTGCTCCACTTCAGTGGGAATCCAAGTGGAAGCCAGAGGTCGTGCGCAGACCGAAGGACGAGCTTGGAGCCAAGGCTGCGCTTGTTGAGGCGAGAGTGGTGGTGTTCACCAAGAACAATGTTAGGACTGTTAGGTCTTGTTGATAGAGGACATGTCCGCAAATGCTGTGCTTTGAAGCCGCAATGCTGCTTTTTTTTGTGTCGCCGTGGGAGATCACTTTCTGCCAGGCGAGCAGACCATGGGTTGGCGAGACACTCTCGGTGGTGCTGCCTTGCGCGTATGTATCCAGATCGCAAATGTTAGTAGGAACTTGTGCTGCGTGAGAAGGCCCGGCCGCAGGCATTCTGACCAAAAACGGCTTTGTGGTCACTTCTCTACATTCGGGCCCCTTTTAGGGTTAATACTACAAGGCGGCCCCTAGTTTTTAGGGTACTCTAGAAGGGACCATGATTTAGAGAACTGACCTTATGATGAGGGATTGCGGCTTCGCCGTTTAGGTGTCTTCAATCTGAGGAAGGAGCTTATGCTTCCAGGACTGTGGAATCCGCAACTCGGCTCGCACAGGCCGCAGTGGTCTTCGAAAATCAGTTGGGGCGAACAGACAAAGGAATTTTGAAGCGAGACGTCGGATCGTCGTGTCCATGCGGCCTTTACTTCATGATTCGCATATCTGGCCGGTTTGTGAAGTAACAAGGCATCCTTGAAATAGGACTTATGTCGTTAGACGTCCTAACAGCGCGGCCCTATGGGAATCGACTATCTGCTTGTGTTAGGATTTCGACCTACACGGCACTCGTAATAGCAGTGTTCATGCGGAGTGCTCCTGAAAGAGGAGGCGAACTTCAGCTAAAAGAAGTAGCTAAGCAACTATGTTTTGCGTTTTGCTGAGATCTGGGCCCACACAGCGAAAGCCCGGCTGCGGGAGATCATCGTAGTGGACGACACTCGGCCGTTGCTGGCAGTTTGGCGCTGAAGAAATGCGCAATTGCCGGTGGGGACTGGGAGTGGACAATTTTTTGCGCACATGACATATCCACAACAGTTGAGAGCCGAAAGTGCTCGCCCGTATTGCCTGCATTGACTTGGTTGCTTCAGTCTGCAATACTTGCCTGGATTCCTGGATGAGCCTGGATGCCTAATTCGTCCCAGTGCTGGTTGCTAGGATGGGAGTGTCCCCAAGCTGGAGCTGACTCTGCCATCGCCTCTTGCAGTGTCCCCGGAGGCAAGATTGACTCTGCGGAAAATGTGCAGCATGCCCTTTCAGAAAAAAACGCTGGCAACAACAGTGAGCCTGGCAGTGTTCTTGAGGATCGCTTGTCGGCGAAATGTAGGTCTGTTGAAATTCCCAAAGCTCAAGTGTCTTCAGATACTCAAGAGTGCGACCGTTGCAGACGTCCGCCCTGCGCGGAACGAGCTCGCCAGCTATTCGGCTGTTGAGGCCCCTGATTTTGATTCTGGCGTCTTTCATGGTGTCACAAGTTCTGGGAAGTCATTGTCAGGGATGTTGACAAGTCTTGGCGCCCTGGGTGTGGCGCAGCTTGTTTCGTAAGGCGTTGGCAAGGAGCGTTCTTACGAATGCTAGACTCCTAGACTCACGGGGCGACGACGATGTGATTTGGGTACTTTGAGGCTAAGCATGTACGAAGCTTGTATCTCCTGAGCTCTCAAAGTCAGGTTCATCTTGTCTTGACGTGCTGCTACTTTCGAGGTTTGCTTTCGGGTACGTTTGGCAGGCTCCAGCCCCTTTCCTGGCAAGCCTCGAGCCTCGGCTCACACTCCCACAATCTCCCACACGGATTGGAAATCCCAACGTTTTCTTAGACGAAAACTGTCGCGATGCCAGGCTGAAGCTGATCGATGCTTTCGAGCTTTTACAGTGCCATGAGTCAGTTGCCGTGTTGAACCGAGCTGGGGAATGTTCCTGAAATGCCGCTGTGCTCCATTTCTGTTTTGGCTTTGGTGTTTCAAGCGTCAACCCCGAACAGATGGAGACTTGTCGCAGGCACGAGAAAACCTTGGGCCTCATCGCTGCCAAAAAAACTGGTGGTGATGCCGCGCAGGGCGATGCCATCCGAATTGCAACAAGTAGACCCGGACACATGTAGCAGTAAAGTACGAGTTGGAAGCCACAAGCGTGTGTCAGTCTTGGAACTGCATGGTGCAGTTTAAAGAATACATTCACGACTTCCCTGGTCCCTCGTACGTTGCCGTCATGTATCTACGTAATTGCAGACTCATTTGACTCATTGAGCGCTCGTTAAAACGTTACAAACCTTCGGGGATGCCGCCCAATTTGCCACCCAGACTTGCTTCAAGGTTATTGTATTCTTCGATTGCCATGTGAAGCCAAGAGATGGCTGGGAGGTGGGCAAAAGCTGCGAAGTTAGTCCCATGATCAAGTGATCCGTTTCTGCTGCTGATGCTGCCTTCGCTTGCGCTGCAGGATGCGTTCTTGAAGCAGATGCATCGCGCAGGAGATCATCGAACTCTTGTGGTGCCAACGATCACAGCACTGGATCCCGACACGTGGGAAGAGAATGCCGGGTCGTCCAGCCAAGCATGCTACATGACCTGGAACGCCGACTTCACTTGGCTGCTGAACCCAGGGCGGGATGTGCCAGTCATGAGTGGAGGACTGCTGGCAATAAGCAAGCGCTGGTGGGAGGAAACTGGTGGTTATGATGATCATATGATTGCGTGGGGAGGTGAGAACATAGATCAGTCACTGCGCAGCTGGCTCTGTGGAGGCCGCATTGAGGTGGCAGAAGGGGCCTTCGTGGCACACATGTGGCGTGACCCGAACAACCCCAAGACACAGCTGAAGTACACCATGCGGACAGAAGATGTCATGCGAAACAAGGCTCGCGCAGTTTCGGGCTGGCTTGGCCCTTATGTTAACAAGACCTTCACATTTCCAGAGTACGAAGCTTTTTTCAATGGTGAAAACAGCATCGGTGATTTAAGCAACTTCGAGCAGTTGCGGCAGAAGCTCAAATGCGCCCCGTTCTCTGCCTACCTACACCGCTTCTCATACATCTACGTGGATGGCGGGCTGATTCCGGAAAAAGTTTTCCAAATCCAGGAGGTGTCTTCTGGCTTGTGTTTGGAGAGAGACGTCAAGGAAGGCAGAAGTCATGGCATCGTTCTGAGCCCTTGTGTGGACGTGGACGGGATCCAGGGCCTAGATGCAACATGTTTGTCGTGTTTGTCGTAGTTTGTAAACGTTACTGGCGGCTTCAGAAAGACAACGACTATAAATTTGGCTGAAATGCCCCTCGTGATGTCAGAAGGCTTGACCCGAAGCCCCATTTTTGTTCGTAAACAACTTCTTGGGTTGCTTCGATAAAGAAACTCTGGTAGTTCGAGTTCCAGGAACAAGGGAGTCCTGGACATCCAGCTCTGGCACCCGGGCAACCGAGATCGGACGAGAGAGGGCGGGCCATGTTGCAGCGGCCTTCTGAACTGGAACTTCTTGCCCCTCGGCAGCTGGGGGTACTTGGCGGGACTTGGGGAGGGCTGCCCAGACTCTGAGAGGAACTCACAGGAATTCGTGGAGCTGGCTTCAGGCATCTTCAGGTTTTGGGGGCAGTGCTGCTACAGCTAGCAGCTGGGAGAGATCTCGAGCAAGACTCTGAGCAAGACTGTCGGTCCAAGGCAGTGTTTGTCTTCGCATGGTACGCACAGTGAGCTTTTCACTGAAGAGTGCGTGATCTCTGGTCACAGTCTCTTGGCACCGGTAGCACGGATTCTACGCGAGCATGCCCAAAGCGCCAACTACCCTTGTCACTATCTGGTCGCCAACTAGTCTCATCAGCTGTCTAAGGCTTGCATCAGGAGTTCCATCTGCCGGAGGACCGGAAGACACCGTAAGGATGTGAAGTCAGCGGTCGAATATGGATTCGCAAAAACATTGTGCGATATTTAGAAAGTTGGTTCAGACAACCAGGAAAGTTTTTCCGACAAAGGCCCAGATGGCTGGGAAAATACTTTCGAGGCCTAACACAGTGAAAAGCTAGCCTCAAATTTCACCGCATTGAAGCGGCTTTGGTGCTTGCATCTCCTCATTTCATTTGTTCATTCTCCGTCCCCATTCATAGTAGTTAAAAAAAATAAAACCCCCCCCCCTCCCCTCCATTTTACAAGGAGCCTCCTTTTAGGGAACGCGTGTTCTGTGCGAGCACTAGCGACTTGAAGCCGTAAAACAGCCTTTGTGCCAGAGCCCCCGAGAGTAGCAGTCCCGAGGGGGGCCCTGAAGGCGGCATCTCTCTTATGAGATGCCCTTGAAGAGACCTCTGATGCCACCAGGTCCGCTCGTTGGCATCAAGCAAGTCCATTTCCCTCTGTCTGTTTCAGTTTCATTCCGTTTTTCATCTCCTCTCTCATCTCTGAATGCGGGCTTGTACGGTCATGCGTGCATGTAAACAAGCGTGGGTGCCTGACATGGAACCAAATACTACACGCCCACAAGCAAAGTCTAACCGAACAATTACTGTATCTGAGTCGAAGAAGAGCAAGCACACTGCAAGCACCGAAACGGTTTGGCACCCGTAAAAGTGAAGAAGCTTTGTTCAGCGCTTGCCTCAAGACCGAAGAATGCAGGAGCAGTGCCCACAATTGATGTTAGCATCCTGCATCTACCGTGTCTTAAGCAGCATAGGAGGTGTGAGAGGAGAGTGGGCAGGAAGGCGTGTGTACATGTATTGAATGATCGATAGGTGATAGGTCTCAAGGCATCGACATGCAAAGATTGAGTCGAAGCGACCCTGAGGATGGCGAAGGGCGCTTGACCTGGCATGGCGAGACCTGTGCAATGCCTCAGGTGAAGAGCCAGGATGGGGCATCGAGCTCAAACTTCACACCTTTCTTGACCCTCGTCCCGTTCGCATACCGTGACAAACCCTTCACGAGATGTTCTACGCACCTGTTAGAC